TGGAGATGCCCGACACGAACCTGCCCTCCCTCCCTTCCTGTCTGCGGGGTCCCCAGGGACTCCAGGAGTTTTTACCCTTGCTTGATCCTCTGACATCCTTTAATTAGGACTTTGGGGACGCCCTCTCCTAATTATTGGGATCTGTTCACCTTCCCAAAGCTTTAGGGACGCCTACAAGCAGTGAACTGAGGCCCCATAGTCCTGCCAAATTTTCCAAAATGGGCTTTAAATTGTTCGCAGAGACACCCCAATGGTTTGCCTGCTGTCTAACCGTAAGACCCGTGGGCTGACTGATGTACAGCCAAAAACAATTGACTTGTTTATCTATTGAAATCGGCCTCCCTAGCCTTTAGATAATGGCTGGCCTTCGTTAGCCTGAGTTCAGAACCATCAGTTTAAATATTCTCACTCACTTAAACAGCTCTCCAACAAAAGTGAGGAGTCTGAGGTCCCCTAAACTCAAGTCCTCCTCTACCTCCCTCTGCTCATCCTGTTCTGCCCACCAAGTCCTTCTCTGCCACAAGCCTCCCAGCTACCAACAAAACAAAACATAAATAGGAATGACATTATAATTTTACCTTTCCTTTACAACAACCAAAGACAAATAAGAAGCAAAGAAAGAGAGCTTACCAAAAACAGTGTAGAAAGAAGGAAAGAGTATAAAGGAGATGGCTCCTAGTGGTGTGACAAATGATGGGCCCTAAATGACAGGAAGGAGCAGATCTGTGGAAAATGTAAGATATCAAACAGCGGAGTTACTTACTTATTCGATATGAGAAGGGAGAGAAGGAAAAGAAAGATGAACATGTACCTGGACCTAGCCCATGTCTTCACCTGCACTAACTATATTAGATCAGCCAACATATCCGAGAAACCAATTTCATTAACTTCGTTTTATAGACCAGGAAGCAGGGCTTTAGAGTCTGGTGTTATATCTCCACAAGATTCAGCCTAAGCCATTTGCAGTCAATATACTAAAGTTTTGTGGGAAATCTAAGATAAAAAGGAGTGCACTTACTTTGGGTTGAACACCGTGGTCATTGAGCTACATTTCTCTCCCCTCAGAAGGCAAGTTGGCTGGCACCTATGGCTCACACTTGTAATCTTAGCTACTAAGTCTTTATCCCCACTTCCAGTCCTCGGCTCCACCCAAACCTGAGCTCCTCCCTACCCTAGAGTTCCCACCAAATAGCAGGCCACTCCCTCTCTCTGACCCAGACCTACCTGTGCAGGCCACTAGCCCAGAGCTACTCACCTGGATAGGGGCAGATGCCACATGCTCCCTCTCCCTGGGGGAGATATGGCCCTCTAACAAACCTTATAATAATCTTTCTCCTGTGCCTGGCTGCCTCCACGTGGTCCCCTGGGATGGTCATGATGGATCCTAACAGTCAAAAGGCTGAGATTTGAGGATCTTGGAATCCAGCATCTCCAATTACCCAGCAAAAAAGCTGGGAGTAGAGGTGTAGCTTAAGTGTTAAAATACAGGTCTTGAGTGAAGGCAGTATGAGGCCCTCAGCTCACTCTGTGAGGCCAAGGTTGTAATTAGATTGAATAAGATCAAAGTCATAGAATTAAGGGGGCATATTTTATTCAAATAGTAGAGAGTTAGTTCATTAATTTTCAGGGTAGTCCATGACATTGGATTTTAGGAACATTAAGCTCAAACCAACTAAACCTCATCCGAGGGTATCTATAATCCCTTTTTTTTTTTTTTTCCAATCGTGGGGCTTGAACTTTGGGCCTAGGCACTGTTCCTCAGCTCTTCAGCTCAAGGCGAGCACTCTACCACTTTAGCCACAGTGTCACTTCTGGTTTTCTGGTGGTTTATTCGAGATAAGTCTCACGGACTTTCCTTCCCAGGCTGGCTTTGAACCGTAATCCTCAGATCTTAGCCTCCTGAGTAGCATGAGCTACCAACACCTGGCTGGTAGCTATAATCTCTTAAGGGTCTAGAGATGAATGCTTCAAAAGGGAAAATTTTGCAAATCTAAAGAATAGACTGGAGTGGGAGGTCTTTTTTTGGGGGGTCCAGTCGTGGGGCCTGAACTCTGGGCCTGGGCGCTGTCCCTCAGCTCTTCAGCTCAAGGCTAGCGCTCTACCACTTGAGCCACAGCGCCACTTCCGGCTTTTTTTCTTTTTGCTTATGTGGTGCTGAGGAATCGAACCCAGGGCCTCAGGCATGCAAGGCAAGTGCTCTATCACCGAGCCACCTTCCCAGCCCCATGCCCTCCATGTCTTTAGTACCCTCAGTGTACTTAGATTTGGTTTGTTTGCCATTCAGTCCAGAGAGCTAAAGCCAATTGCCCAAAGAATGGGATTATTCTCTGCCACAGTCATTCCTGCACCGGGGAATTCCTGGCTGGTGGGCCATGGGAGAATCCAAAGGCCATAAGGAGTAAGAGGAACATGGAGGCTTCTCCATTCTGCCTACAACCTGGTCATACCAGTGAGACACTGGTAGAAAAGCAAAAGCTTTCACAAACAAGCTCCCAGAGATTGTCCCCTTCAAGGATAGCCTGACCAGCCTAACCCTACTCAACCCTATCTCCCCTCTAAAGAAAAGACATGGAGGGCAGTGTGTAAAGGTGTCAGGATGAGGGTTCCCATACTTCATTTGTGTGTTATTTGCTAATGAGACCATGGGATTTGGATCCAAGTGTGTGAAGGTATATTAAATAGGTAGGTTTCATGAGGTAGCCAATGAAGAGAATACCACCACGCGCTATTCAGACAGGAAAAGAAGTTTATTTACTGAACTGCTGCCCGGCTGGGCATGGTGGAAAAATGAAGGGGTGACCCACCCCTGGGCCAGGACTTATCTAGGCCAGGGACAGGAAGAGGTGTGGCCAGGTGGGGGAAAGGTGTGGCCACAATGGATCTGGATGTGACCTCAGAGTCTGGGACCCTCTTAAGGTCAGAGGGGAGGCATGTGACCAGAGGTGGCCCAGGATGTGACCTAGCAGGAGGGGAAGGTGACTGCTTCCAGGTCTGCCAGTTACCTAGGTAACAGATACTGGGCAGAAACTTAGCCTAGAGGTAAGGAGGTGTCCCTGTGTAGACCTTACACACACTAACTGTGTGTAATCCCAAAGTCTTGAAACTTTGTACAGCGAATAATCAATGTTTCAGTATGGTTTGTGCTGTGATGTTGTACTAGAGTGCTGTGAGATTTATCTCTGATGTATCTTAAACCTTGATGACCGGACCCTAAAATAAGTTGCTGTTCAAAAACAGTCTTCTGATTTGTTTGAATGAAAATTGGAAGAATCTGACTCCAATTTTTGGTGAGCTTCTTGGTTTGGCTACTTCAAAGACCAACTCTTAGTGGAGTTGAAGGCTCAGGCCCAAGTAAGCTGTTCTCCATAATAATACCAATTTGTTTTCTTCTTCAAGGTCCTGGCTCTTCAGTGTTCTGGAAGACTAGCCTGAAAGGGGATAGAGGTAGAGATAAGGGCAACTTCCACTTTGTTGGAAACTTGTCTAAGTTGTTGAGAAGAAAGGACCCATCTGACTTTATTGGGGAGGGGAGTCCTTTGAAGGGGACTATGGGCAAGAGGTTCTGGGTATATTATATCTGTCACTACTTTTAAGTCTTCTCAGCTTTGTAACTCTTGTTATTCCAAGTGTTATGCCTCTCTTCTCTCAAGGTGTATTCTGTGGTATATTTCCAGATGGTTCTTTTGAGAAACTGCTGGCAGGATTAATTCTAAGGGCTTACCCTTTGATAAAACAAATTTACACGCAGAAGGTAAACTTTAAGAAGATGTGAATAGACCTTTAAAGTTTGTTATCCACTCTTCTGCTTAAGAAAGATCATTTCATGAGAAGAAAAGATTGGGAGGTTGAGGGCATAGCTCAGGGACAAAGAACACTTGCTTAAGCCCAGCACCTATAATCCTAGTTATTCAGGAGGCTGAGATCTGAGGATCAGTTCAAAGTCAGCCTGGGCAGGAAAGCCTAAGAGATTCTTACCTCCAAATAACCACCAAAAACCTAAAAAACAAAAACAAAAAAAAACAACTGGAAGTAGAGTTGTGGCTCAAGTGCTAGATTTCTAGCCTTGAGCACAAAAGGTCAGGGACAGCACCCAGGCCCTGAGTTCAAGCCCCAGGACTGGCACAATAAAAAAGAGAGAGAGAGAGGACTTTTGCTTAGCATTCTCATCGGCCAGACCATCAGAGATTAAATGTACTAGAAGGCTACAGGTGGCTTCTCATTCTTTCTCTTTTCTTTTTTTGCCCCCTCTTTTCCTGATGGTACTTGGATTTGAACTCAGAATCTATTACATGAATCACATCCTTAGCCCTTAGCCTGGTTTCTACGAAACCTTCCTTAGGAACTCGGTCCTTTTTCTGCTGCGCCCTCTCGTTTTCCTCTTTAGCTCCACTGCACTTTGCACACTCCTTTAACCCAGCAGCCCATGATGTAGTATTCTAACATATAATTATCTATATACTTACCCTTCCACGCAGACTGACCTCCAGGGCGTGGGACTGGTACTGGTACTCAGACCTAGGTTCAAATTCCAACCGTGGGGTACCTGACTTTGTAATCTTAGGCAAGTTTTAATTGCTCTGCACCCTATTTCCTTGACGGTCATAAGATTTCCTACGGCATTAGGTTGCTGGGAGACTGGGTGAAAAGACAAAATATGAAAGGCATATGCAAAATAAAGGGCGCTTAAACCCACACATATTTGTTAATAAACAAGATCTATCTTTATCGCAAGCATTCAGCACCAACAGCGCTCCGGATAGAAAAAAAACCTCTTCCTACAGACCCCCAACAACCGCACACACGAACCGTGGGCCTTGTCCCTCTGGCCGAACCAGGATTGGCTGGACCGAAGAGAAAGCCCCGCCCACAGACCTCCTAGTCTCACCAGCGATTGGCTGAGGATCGTCGGGTAGGCGTTCTCCCTGGGCTCACGTGCTGAGGGAGGTACCAGAGTGCGCACGCGCGGGTGGGGAGCGAAGCCTTCCGGCGGGGTGGGAGGAGGTGACGTTGGAAGTGGTGGCGGGCGGGGGCCTCCTACCGTAGTTGAGGGGACGTTGAATGTAAGGGCCCTCGGGTCGCGTCACCAGCCAGCGACTGAGGCTTGGTGGTGGTGGTGGCCGTAGCGGCGAAGGCGGCAGCGGCGGCGACAGCTCTGGGGTTTGCGTCTCGGGGTGTGTCGGCCGCCGCTGCTGCTCGGGCCTGGTATGTACAGATGGCTGGTTAGGATTCTCGGCACCATTTTCCGTTTCTGCGACCGGTCGGTGCCCCGAGCTCGGGCGCTCCTCAAGAGGCGGCGCTCGCACAGGTGAGGCGGGCGAGGCGGGCGGGGGCTGGCGCGGGCCTGGCGGCGCCCCTCCCTCGCTGCGGGCTCCGGGCCCCGCCCGCGGAGCGTGGGTCCGGCCCCGCGGGCCCGGCGGGCGGGAGCGCGCCTCCGGGGTGGAGGCCCGGGAGCCCGCGGGTCGCGGGCGCCCCGGTGACGTCGTCGCTCCCGCCGCTGCGCGCGGCGTCGTCTTCGGGAGTAGCCGGTGATGGCAGCACCCTTAATGTGCTTGTTCAAAGTCCGGACTGGTCGCTGACAACAGACGAGGTCGGTGTGTCGCGTTTTTTTTTTTTTTTTTTTTTTTTTATCGGTGTCAGGACCAAAATCGGAAAATGCGAGGAAGTTGGCTCGGTTGTGATTTAGTGTGTGCAGAACACGCTTTCTAAGCATCATCTGCGGACTGTGTGTAAACCTGCAGTTCGGAGGGACGAGGTTGGTAGTTCGCCCAAAGTCATTTTTTGACTGCAAGTACTGTTCTCCTAGCGCCAAGAAACAGCAGCTGTCTCGTTTTAAAACAGCTGTCCCACCGTGTGAGCTTGGGGCCAGCTCGGGGAGGGAGAGTTGTTCTGTGCCTTAGACTTAGAAGATACTGTGCTCCCTTTGAAGGATCAGTAGTACATACATTAAAACGGCGTTACAATTTTCGAGAAACTACAAATTGTTACTTAGCATCTACCCCTTCGTTTATCTCACCTATTAATCTAGAAAATAAAACATACACATCTATACAATGGACAGTGAACTGTTTTGTTGTTGCTGCTGTTTTTTTCCTTTTGTGGTGCTGAGGTTGGAACCAGGGCCTTTGTGAACTAGCACTCTATCATGGAACCACACCCCCCAGCCTCGTTTTTTTTTTTTTTTTTAATTAATTTAGCATTTTTCGATTTAGTTTACATTAGTTATACATAGGGGAATTTCATTGTTACATTTTGACACAGGTTGACAATGTATTTCAATCAATGTTATCTCCTCTGTCACTTTTCCTTCTCCCATGTTTTTGTTTCTGAGACAATATCTCCATATATAGAGCAGGTTGGACTTGAACCAGTTGTATAGCCCAGGCTGGCCTGGAATTTCAGATCCTCCAGCATCAGCTTCCCAGTGCTGGGATAATAGGCCATTAGGGCTGTCATTCTTTCCCTCTTTCTTATTAAGTCTCAAGATGAAAGGTGACCGTTAAAGATTGGGGAAGCTTGAGAGAACGAAATGATTAATACATGAGTCTAAGAATGTAAATATGAAATTAGGTGTCTAAATTGTAGTATGCTTTTCTGAAACTCATAGTTTCTACCTTTATGTAGAGTTGATCATTTGAGACATGTCATTAAGTGCCTAAACTAATGCTTAATGTATGTAAGAGTAATATTTGTTTATTCTACCCCGAGGAGTTTGTACCCCATCAGGCACATGATAAACATTTGTTACATATTTATTGAATTGTGGTGCTAATTCTCTCAAAGGTATCCATTCTTTTTTCTCTCATTCATTTTCTCTCCCTCCTCTTGACCTAACCTGCCCCCACCTCTCTTTGAGTCAGGGTTTCTTGTATAGACTACTCTGGCCTTGAACTCCTCCTGCCTGTTTCTTGAATGCAGCGATTACAGGCTTAAGCCACTGTACTAGGCTTTGTTCTTTTCTTTAAAATGTAAGTTTCTTGCTAGTCTGGGAAGCTATAATTTGGAAATAAATCCCTATTCTTTACTACAGGTTAGGTATTGATACTCATCCATTATCTAAAATAACTTTGCCAGTACTGGGGCTTGAATTCACACAGCCTTGTGCTTTACCTTTTTCTGATTAAGGTTGATGTTGTATCACTTGAACCACACCTCTATTTCTAGCTTTTTGCTGGTTAATTAGAGATAAGAATCTCCCAGATTTATCTGCGCTTGCTGGCTTGGATCCTCAATCCTCAGATCTCAACCTCCTGAGTAGCTATGATTACAGGCATGAACCACCAGCTCCTGCTAGAGGTATGGCTTAGTGGTAGAGTGTTGGCCAAGCACACAAGCCCTGGTTTCTATCCCTGTATTGGGAGAAAAAAAGCAGTTATATAACATCCTTTTATCTGCTTTTATTGTCAACTGAAGTAAAAAATGACTTTCTTGCCAGGTGCTGGTAGCTCACGCCTGTAATCCTAGCTACACTGGAGGCTGAGATCTGAGGATCATGGTTTGAAGCCAGCTTGGCCAGAAAAGTCTGTGAGACTCTTATCTCCAATAAACTACTTAGAGCTCTACCACTTTTGAGCCACAGCACCACTTTCTGCTTAGAGCAAGGGCTCGTGGTAGAGCGCTAGCCTTGAACACAACGGTTCAGGGACAGTGCCCAGGCCCTGAGTTCAAGCCTCAGGACAAGCCAAAAAAAAAAAAAAAGACTTTCTTTTGAGGTCATTCTTTCAAAAACAAATTATTTGTTCTTTGAAATTTACCAGATTATAGCTTATTATGTGGTAAGGAAGTTTGGATCTCTCTCAAATAGTTGAAACTATAATGTTAAATTCTCAAATGTGAAATGTCTTACTATAGAAAACATTGACAACATTGGTTGGATCTCATTTTATGACAAAGTTAATGGAAGAAGGTATTGTTTGACTAACAGTTTGAGTTTTGTTTGTCCAGGGTCCTTTACATGCTAAGCACATGCTCTACACGTAAACCATACCTCAGTGTTGACTAGCAAATTTATTTATAGAAATAAATGTACCTTTTTTCCTCTCTTTTCAGCACTCTGTTTTCTCCAGTGGACGCTGATGAAATACCAGCTAAACGACCAAGACTAGGTACTAAACTTCGTTTTATTTTATTTTTGCCACTACTAGGACTTGAACTCAGAGCTTTGTGCGCTCCTCTTGTCATTTTCATTCAAGCCTGGTACTCTACCACTTGAACTACACCTCTGCTTCCAGCTTTTTGTTAGTGCATTGGAGATGAAAGTGTCTTGGATTTGCCTGTCTGGGCTAGCTTTGAACTTTAGATATCAGCCTCTTGAGTTGCTAGGATTAGAGTTTAAGCACTAAATTTTATAAATTGAGTAGCTAGGATTATACCAGCATCCAACTTAGGTACTAAATTTTAAAAATTAGTTGTTTAATAGGGAAAATATGTGTGGAAAAAAATTGAGAAGGTTAAAAAAAGTGCATGCAATGAAAACTAAATTTCTTTCCTTCACTGTTGTCTTTTCCAGAAGTACCTATTTTACCAGGGACTTGTATCTTCCCAGATAAATAGATATATGTATTGTATGCATTTAAGATCTAAGTCCTGGGGCTGGGAAGGTGGCTCAGTGGTAGAGTCCTTGCCTTGCGTGCATGAAGCCCTGGGTTCGGCTCCACAGCACCACATTAGCAGAAAAAGCCAGAAGTGGCACTGTGGCTCGAGTGGTAGAGTGTTAGCCTTGAGCTGAAGAGCTGAGGGACAGGGCCCAGGCCCAGAGTTCAGGCCCTACAACTGAGAAACACATGCACGCACGCACGCACGCACGCGCGCGCGATCTAAGCCCTTTCCATAGAAAAAGAATATCTATCTATCTAAACTATCGATTTATTTTTCACTGTTTCTGCCACTTGTCAAGGCCTAAGGGCTGTCTTTGAGCATTTTTGCATAAGGCTAGGCATAGCTCCACTTTTGGCTTTTTGTTGGTTAATTGGGAAAAAAAAAAGTCTCTTGGACTTTTCCTGCCCAGGCTGGTTTTATTTATTTATTTATTTTGGGTCCAGTCATGGGGCCTGAACTCTGGGCCTGGGCGCTGTCCCTCAGCTCTTCAGCTCAAGGCTAGTGCTCTACCACTCGAGCCCCTTACCACTTCCTGCTTTTTTTTCTTTTTGCTTATGTGGTACTGAGGAATGGAACCCAGGGCCTCATGCATGCAAGGCAAGTGCTCTACCACTGAGCCACCTCCCCAGCCCCCAGGCTAGTTTTAAACAGCAATTCTCAGACCTCAGCCTCCTGAGAAATTAGGATTACAGGTGTGAGCTACCAGCATCAGGCTTAGATGCTTTTTATTTTTGAAGTGGAAACATTGCAAAAACCAGTTCAAACTGAGTATTCAAGTTTAGCTTGCTTAATGAACCAATCTAATTAGTTGTAACAAACCTTTTACTTCCATATATGTATGGCTTAGAAGGACAGTGAAGCCAAACTAAAGGGAAAAACCACAATAGAGTAATATATTCATCTTTTTTTTTTTTTGCCATTCCTGGTGCTTGAATTCAGGGCCCTGAGCTTCTTTTGCTCAAGGCTAGTTACCCACTTGAGCCACAGGGCCACTTCCAGTTATTTCTGTGTGTGTGGTACTGAGGAATCGAACCTAGGCCTTCATGCATTGCTAGGCAAGCACTCTACCATTAAGCCACATTCCCAGCCCCTCATCTTTTTCAATAGTGACTGCATTTTGATCTCTTTGAGATGTGATTGTTGGTTATGGGCCTATGTTGATATTCACTTAAATCCACTGAGTACTTTGTCCAACATGTTTTGATGTATGGCAATATATTCTACAGGAAATAAAAAAATGAGAAAAATGGGGTCATTATTTCTAAGGGTCTTGTTTGCGCGGTTATATGGCAGGAGTTATATATAAGTATGTAAGCAATCTGATGTCAGTGAGGACATGATGAAATAAGGAAGCAGTAACAGAATCCTGTTCAATTTCCAGCTGCTTGAGAGTCTCAGTAAATGTTTGATGAAGGACTTAATATCTGAGATGGATCTTGAAGGATGGATAGGATATCAAGAGATTGATAGAAAGGGAAAGCGTTCTAGGCAGAAGGAACAATATGAACAAGTTGTAAATTCAGAAAATAATAAGAGTTCAGGGAAAAAATTGAATGAAGGCAGGTCAAATTATACATTCTAAGTAACAGGAATTTATACAATATTCATCATCACAGTATTTCCCATACAAATTTAGGAAATGATTTTAGAAAACACACATTCACAACATGTTATATTTAAATTATGATTATATACTAAGGAAGCTGTATTTTTTTGATTGAGTAAAACCTTGATTTAGTGCTAGTTATATCTTTAATACTTGCCAGGTACATGCTGAGTTCTCATTTTTGAAGCGAGTCCAGCCAGAACTTAGTATTGGTTTTATTTTGTGTGTGTGTATGTGTGTGTGCGTGCGCTCCTGTGCACATGTGCATTCCCATTCTTTTTGCAGTATTGGGGATTGACCCCAGGATCTCCCTTATGCTAGAGAAGAGCTGTGGCATTCAAACTAAGCCCCTGGCTCTTTTGTGTTTTGAGATAGGATTTTATCAATTTTTTCCTGGGCTGACCTTGAATTGGTCCTCTAGCACTACCTTCTGAGTAACTGGAATTATGGGCATATGCCTGGTTTAACATTTTCATTTCTTTATAAAGCAAAGTATGTTGGCTTTTTATTACAGTTTTAAGTTAAAATGGTCTTTTAAATGGATTTATTTAAGCTAAAAAATAAGTCACTTTTATTTTTTTATTATTTTTTGGGGGGGGGGGCGTCTGATCGTGGGGCCTGAACTCTGGGCCTGGGCGCTGTCCCTCAGCTCTTCAGCTCAAGGCTAGCGCTCTACCACTTGAGCCACAGCACCACTTCCACCGTTTTTCTTTTTGCTGATGTGGTGCTGAGGAATTGAACCCAGGGCCTCAGGCATGCAAGGCAAGCGCTTTACCACTGAGCCACCTTAGTCACTTTTAATGATAAATATTGGCTTTTACTTGGATAAAGTTTTAAAAATTTGATCATTATAGAAGGTTCTTGAAATGATTATTTATGGTAATTATCTCTTTTATGTCTTTCTGTGTCAAAGATCATCCACTCCTTTATTTCCATAAATGTTTATAAAAATCATAATCCATAACAATACTATGATTTTTCTGAATGGCAAACTAAAGAGAGGAATCTGAGCCAAGGAGAAAGTAATAGGTAGGAGAGACAATATTTGTAAAAGTTTATTAATTCTGACCACTAGAACTTACTACAATGTTGGCTGGCAAGCACAGTTTTACTTAAGGAACTGAATTTTTTATTTTAATTAATTTAAAGAAAATTCCTACTTAACTACATTTGGCTGCCAGCTTAGTAACTTTTGCTAAAGTAATTGTTTTGTGTTTTGTAGCATCTCAGATATTTTGTTTAATTTATTTATTTTTGCCAGTCCTGGGGCTTGAACTTAGGGCCAGGCATTGTCCCTGAGCTTTGGCTCAAGGCTAGCACTCTACCACTTGAGTTACAGTTCCACTTCTGGCCTTTTCTGTTTATGTGGTGCTGAGGAATCAAACCCAGGACTTCATGCATGTTAGGCAAGCACTCTACCATTAAGTCACATTTCCAGGCCTCAGGTATTTTATTAAAAAAAAAATAGCCGGGTGTCAGTAATCCTGTAATCCACTCAGGAGGCCGAGATCTCAGGATCACAGTTCAAAGCCAGCCTGGGCAGTAAAGTCCATGAGATTCTTATCTCCAATAAACCACTAGAAAACCAGAAGTGGTGCTGTGGCTCAAGGGGTAGAACACTAGCCTTGAGCCACAGAGCTCAGGGACAGCACCGAGGCCCAGAGTTCAAGCCCCATGACTGACAAAAAATAAATAAAATTTCTGGGTGATTGTGGCTTATGCCTGTTATCCTAGCTACTCTGGAGGTTGATTGCTGAGGATCATGGTTCAAAGCCAACCTGGGCAGAAAAGTCCCCTTGAGACTCTTATCTCCAATTAACTACTCAAAAACTGGAAGCATCTCTCTGGCTCAAAATGACAGAGTATTAGCCTTGAGCAAAAGAGTTCAGGGATAGCACCTAGCCCCTGAGTTCAAGCCCCATAACCAACAAAATAAATAAAAATTTACGGTTCTGAAATTTCATTTATTAAGTTTTTAAAAAAGTCATGTGAAAGAAAATAAAGAAGACCTTAGATTGTCCATTCATGATTAGCTTAGTATTGTCTCAGGAAAATAAGGTACTTTTGCTTTCATTCCTTTTATAAAAACAATAAGGTGGGTCTGATGTGCGTGCCTGTAGTACTAGCACTCCTAAGACTGAGGCAAAAGGATTTCAAGTTTGAGGCCAGCCTGAATTACATAGCAAGACCCTATATGAGATGTACGCACACACAAGCACAAACAATCAGTAAGATACTCTGATATAATTTCAGGACATACTTGGTTTTTGACAATAAAAAATAATACTTAAAAAAATTTGCCAGTTCTGGGGTTTGAACTCAGGGTCTGTCACTTGAGCTTGCTTACTCACTGTACTTACTAACTTGGGACACACCTCCAGCCCTGTTTTTTTTGCCAGTTATTTTGGAGACAGAATTTAATGAACTTTTCTGCTCAGGCTGGACACCAGCCTCCATCTCCTGGATCTTTGGCTCCTGAGTAGCATGAGCCACTGGCACTCAGTTTATAATGCTTTTTAGTGGCTAGTTTTATTAATTATCAAGAGTACCTCTTTGTTCTGTAGGGTCTGAACGACCATCTGTGGGTTATGCAACAATCCCTAATGCTCTTTTTCCCTCACTTAGAAGTCCCAGCAGAATATATGATAACTATAACATTACTATAAGAATAATTTGGAATTCTTTCTGGTTTCCAAAATGAAGAGCAAATTTGGTAGTTTTTTTCCCCCTTTTTTTCTCTTTGAGACAGTATTTCTCTATGTAACTCAGGCTGGCTTCCAACTTGCTACCCTCCCTGCCAGCTCTTAAGTGTCAGCCTCCTAAGTACTGGGATTTCAGACATCATTATGCCCTGTAAACTCTGGTACTTTGATTACGGTGTAGCAAATTACTTCAACTTGGATTTTGTTTATCTGGACAATACATCATTTCATCCCCCAGGTTTTTCTTCTATTCATTTATTCTCCAAGTTACTTTCTTCTTCCAAAGTTATTTCCCTATTTTTCTGAAAAGCATTTATTTTATATATTCTGGAGTTCTTACTGCTTGAAGCCATCATTTCAATCTTTTAAAAACTAGTACTTTGTAATTTCTCTAATTAGAACGTAGAAAGGAAATTGTGGACAGCTCAGAGGAAGTAAGAAAGAGGTAGTTTCATAAAAGGAGGAAGTGGGGAAGCACTAAAATCTATTCTTTATTTACTCTTATTTTATAGTCTTTGTTTTTAATGGCAGGATGAGATGAGTCTGAGCTCATTGGACGTTAACCTGTAGAGGGATAGTCTTGATTCTTCGTAGGTGCTTAAGAGCAGTATATGTATCTTTCACTTAGCCAATATAACAGAGCTTAGTAAGCAGTTGTTGAGAGCAAATGTTATGTTACCCTCCTGGGATGGAAGGATAAACCAGTGAGAAGATAGCAATGTATCCTATAGGATTCAGCCAACCCTAATGATACTTTTTCCTTGTTTAATTTTGCCTGTATCTCTTATAAAAATTCACTATATATTTTGGAGAGCTTGTTGCTTAAAAGCTACTACTAGGATAGTTCATTGTTAATTGGTTGTGAGTTTTGTATCATTCATTTTTAAAGAAAAACAAAAATGATAATACACTTACTCTGTTTTCTTTTGGCCAGTCCTAGGGCTTGGACTCAGGGCCTGGGCACTGTTCCTGAGCTTATTTTGCTCAAGGCTAGCAAACCCAGGGTTTCATATATTCTAGGCAAGCACTCTACCACTAAGCCACATTCCCAGCCCAGAAAAAATATTTTTATAACTGCCTTTTTTATTTCAGTGCTTAAAAATAGGACTTTAATAAAAATTCAGAGTGCTTCTTCCTAAGATATAACCTAACTTTTTGCTGGAAGTTTATTATTTGATGTTTATAGTTTGTTGACACTTTTTAGATTGCTTTATTCACCAAGTGAAAAACAGTCTCTACAATGCTGCCAGTTTATTTGGATTCCCATTCCAGCTGACCACAAAGCCCATGGTGACTTCTGCTTGTAATGGAACACGAAATGTGGCCCCTTCAGGAGAGGTCAGTAGTGAATGGGGAACAATTGGGAATATTGATTTCATTTTTGTTGTTTTGCTGGGCATTAAACCTAGGGCCTTGAGCATGCTAAGCATGAGTTCTATGTCTCAGATATACTTCTAGTCTCTAGAATTGCTGATTTTTGTACTAAATCATTAGAGTTAATTTTAGAAATATTCTTAATACTCACTTTTTGGAAGTTAACATATATAGATTGACTTCTTTTTTATGTCTTTTTCATGTCTTTTTTTTTTTTAGTTGTGTTTTATAAAAGGAAATTCAACATCTAAACATTTAAAAAACATTTATAAAGAATATTGTTGCTTCTGTTTTTATTTAATTAAGTATGTGTAAAGAAGCTGGAATTATCTCATTTTTTATATCTTTATGAATTCTGACAAATGTTTTATCTGAAATGATACCATTTCAATGAGCTGATTAGGGATATAGTCACCAATGGAGTGATCTTTTAAATTAGTTTCTTTAGCCAATTGAAGAATTTTAGATGCTACACAGGTGATTCTGTTTGATTTTAAGGTATTTTCGAACTCTTCATCTTGTGAACTGACAGGTTCTGGATCCCGGAACAACATGCTGAAACTGGGTGAGGTGGTCAAAAGTATTTTTTGCTTCCCTGTACTTCCTTCTGCCCATTTTTCCCTAAGTTTTGAGACTATGAAAGAAAAACACCAATTTGGATTGGGATGAGAATAAAGGCATATTCTTTCTACCATTCTAAAAAGCAAATACAGGCTGAGTAAGTATCTTTATGCGAAATGGTTGGGACCAGAAGTACTTCAGGTTTGGGAGTTTTTAGGTTTGGTATATTTACATTTCTGATAAAATTTGAAATCTGAGGGTAGAAATTTTTTAAGCCTGAGCACAGAGATTTTCTGATAAGGGATGCTCAATTTGTAACTTTCCTTATTGTCTTACTTCTGTGTTTTCTATTTTTTCACCAATGTTGTAATGTGACTTAGATCAAGTTGCATTCATTAAAAAAAAGTCCTGAGTATTTATTGAATACCAGGCACTGTCTAAGTTATCAGGAAAATAATATAAAATTATATTCTTGCCCCTGAAGACTTCATCATTACTTGATGGACAACTTTTGTTGGCATTTCTTACAGCTTATAGATTAGGGATTTCTGTATCATCATTAGGCCTTGAGAAGGAATTCTAATTATTGTATATGCAAATGGTATGATGGGGAAAATGGGAAGAAGCCAGAGTTCTGAAAAATGTTTGTAATGTTTGCCATTCGAGTAGTCTTGAAAGTTTGAGAGGAAACAGTGGAAGTTAAAGAGAGAAGTTGTGATTCAGAAGTCAAAAGTGGAAGAAACCAAAGAAGTGACCAAAGAAATGCCTCTGGTGGCAAAGACAAAGAAGAGACACATGCCTTGTGTCTTGTCCTGTGAATCTCTGTTCCAAAGACCTTGGAGTAAAAAAATTGTACTTCTTTTAAGTGTTTAGTTCCTACCAATGAGCTACACCCCCAGCCCTTCTTTTTACTTTCAGTTAACTTTTTTATAACATGCTGAGTTCCTTACTATTAATAGAATTTGTATAAACTGCTAATAAATTTTCTATCCTAATGCAGTTCTCATGGCTTTTTTTTTTTACAATTACAAATACATTCTTAAAATAGGTAATAAATCTCCTAATGGAATAAGTGACTATCCAAAGATCAGAGTGACAGTTACCCGAGATCAGCCACGTAGAGTCCTGCCTTCCTTTGGGTAAGTATTAGATTCTGCCTTTCCATGGATGTAAACTTAGCATTTACTAGGCCCTCACTCTTTTAGGCATTCTCATTTTTGTTCTGTTACACAATACTATTAAGTACCCTGAGGAGGTTAATAACTTGCTGAATAACATGCTGGATAGAGACTTGAACTGAGGTTTTTTTGTTAGTTAGTTTTCCAATATTCTCTGTTCATCATGTGATTTTGAGAACTTTTAAACCTTCCTTCCTTCCTTCCTCCCCTTCCTCTTCTTTTCTTCCTCCTCTTCCTCTTCTTTCTCCCCCCCCCCCTCCTTCCTTATTTATTTTATTTTTTTAACATATCTCTATGTCGCTAAGATTTGGACTGGAACTTGCTATATAACCCATATTGGGCTGTAACTCACTATGTAGTTCAGGCTGTTTCTTGCAGTTCTTTTCCTCACTAAGCATCCTAAGAGCTAAGATTATAGGTATGCACCACTATGCCTGGTCTGTAATATCTTTTTTTTTATTCTGGCAGTTTTTAAATTATAAGATTAGTCTTTCCTCTCTCCCTATTGTTTTTCTTTCTCCAGTACCTTGTTCTTATTATAAGAATACAATGTCTTTTCTTAAAAACTACTTATCATGGGGCTAGGAAGTTGGCTCAGTGGTAGAGTGCTTGCCTCACATGTGTGAGGCCCTGGGTTTGTTTGATTCCTCAGCACCACATAAGCAGAAAAAGCCGGAAGTGGTACTCTGGCTCAAGTGGTAGGGTGCAAGCCTTGAGCTGCAGAGCTGAGGGACAGCGCCCAGACCGAGAGTTCAGGCCCTCTGACTGACAAAAAAAAAAAAGAAAAAAAGCTGTTTATCATTAAAAAAAAAATTTCCCCCAGAATTGTGGCTTTTTCTACTCTTGTCATTTTAAAATTTCTTGACTGGTACTATCTGTTTTCTTTGAGTTCTCCTCCTAACTGTAGCACTCCCTTGGTTTATTTTGGTCTTACCTTTCAAGACTTTTGGTTCAAATACCTGACAATCATTGGCTTCCTACTTATATTTGATAATGAGATGAGTGACTAGTTGTAAAGTTAGAAGGGGAAATACAAAGTGAGATGGGAATATCTGTGTCAGAAAGTAAAAGGGCTCAAAAACTGGTGAAATGCTAACCTGACACAGATGGAAATTTAACTTGGACAGGAAAGTCTGTGAGAATTTTTTTTTTGTCGGTCGTGGGGCTTGAACTCTGGGCCTGGGTGCTGTCCCTCAGCTCTTCAGCTCAAGGCGAGCACTCTACCACTTGAGTTACAGCGCCACTTCCGGTTTTTTGGTGGTTTATTGGAGATAGGAGTCTCAAAGTCTCTCCTGCCCGGGCTGGCTTTGAACCGCCATCCTCAGATCTCAGCCTTCTGAGTAGCTAGGATTACAGACGTGAGCCACCAGCGCCCGGCTTCTGTGAGATTTTTGTTTCCAGTTAACCACCAAAAAAAAGCTAGCAGCAGTAGAACTATGCTTTAGTGGTAGAACACTAGCCTTGAGCACAAAGGCTCAAGGATCGTTCTTTCTCAGACCCTGAGTTCAAGCCCTAGGACCAGAACCAAAAAAAAAAAAAGCTAGCAGTGAGATGAATTGATATCATGGTCTTCGAGAGATACTGCCCTGAGAATGAAATCATCATTTATTTGGTATTCCTACAAAAATGAAAATCTATAAGAAAATTGGTTGGTTAGGTCCATTCTACAAAAAGTCTGTACTCTTCAAAGATAAAGAATTGTCAGCTGAGATATGAGAGTTGTGATTTAAAGCCAGCCAGGGCAGCAAAGTCCTGTCTGAGATTTTTATCTCCAATTAACCACAAAAAAAGTGAGAAGTGGAGCTATGGCTAAAGTAGCATGCTAGCCTTGAACACAAAAGCTCAGGACAGCACTCTGATCAGAGTTTAAGCCCCAGGACCTTAAAAAAAAAATCATACTAAAGGAGACCAAATATAGTAAAAACAAAATATAAAATAAGATATTAGATTTTAGAACACCTGAAGGTTTTTTTTTTTTAAAGCTTTGGGGAAATTCAAGTACTACATGTTCTTCTTAAAATTCCTTGATTTTGATGCTTATAAAAAAATATGCTATTCTGGAGAGATACCTAGAAGTGAATTTCTTTTTTTTTTTTTTCTGTGCCTGTCCTAGTGTTTGAACTCAGGCCTCAGCAGCTGTCCCTGAGCTTTTTTGCTCCAGGCTAGTCTCTATCATTTAAGCCACAGCTCTACTTTGTTTTTTTCTTTTTGGCAATTAATTGGACTTTCTTTCCTGCATTGGCTTTGAACCCAGATCCTTACATCTCAGCCTCCTGAGTTGCTATGATTTTAAGTGTAAACTTAATTCTTTAAACAGTTAATGCTGTCAGTTTTCCTATAAATAATTTTAGCTAAATCCTTAAATTTTGAACGTTTGTTTTCCTTTAGTTTGAAATATTTCTTGGCTGGGAATGTGGTTTAGCAGTAGAGTACTTCCTAGCATGCGTGAAGCCCTGGGTTCAATTTCTCAGGATCACATAAATAGAAAAAACCAGAAGTGGTGCTGTGGCTCAAGTGGTAGAGTGCTAACCTTTAACAAAAGAAGCTCAGGGAAAGTGCCCAGGCTCTGAGTTCAAGACCCAGCACTGGGGAAAAAAAAAAAAAGAAAAAAATATTTTCTAATTTCTATTTTTAGTTGTTCTTTGACCTGTCATTTAGCAGAAGGCTAGGTATGTTGTTTAAGTTCAAACATTTGAGATAGTCCAACAGTTTAATTATTTTATGATTAGTGAATATACTTTGTATGATTTCAACTGTTTTTGTTTTGTTTTGTTTTTTTTGTCGGTCGTGGAGCCTGAACTCTAGGCCTGAGTGCTGTCCCTCAGCTCTTCAGCTCAAGTCTAATACTCTACCACTTGAGCCACAGCGCCACTTGCAGCTTATATGGTGCTGAGGAATCGAATCCAGGGCCTCATGCATGCAAGGCAAAGCACTCTACCACTGAGCCACCTTCCCAGCTCCAGCTCCTCAACTGTTTTTTTTTTTTTTTTAAGATATGATGGTTTTTTCTTAGCATACAAAAATATAAACATTTATGAAATAGTGGTTACATTATTTACAGAAACATTATCCTTTTTTATTTAATAAAAGTCTTGACTTGCTTTCCTTCTTATTATATAGTTTTCCCTTTTATATATTTTTTTACTTAAAAAATTGTTGTGCCAGTCCTGGGGGCTTGAGCTCAGGGCCTGGGTGCTGTCATTGAGCTTTTTTGCGCAAAGCTACTACTCTTACCACTGTAGCCATAGCTCCGCTTTCGCCGTGTGTGTGTGTGTGTGTGTGTGTGTGTGTGTGTGTGTGTGTGTGTGTGTGTGTGTGTGTGTGTGTGTGTGTGTGTGTGTGTGTGTGTGTGTGTGTGTGTGTGTGTGTGTGTGTGTGTGTGTGTGTGTGTGTGTGTGCTTAATTGGAAATATGAATCTCAAGGACTTTCCTGCTCCAGCTAGTACCTGGGATTACAGGCATGAGTCACCAGCACTGGCACTTTTATATACCTTAATTGCCAGAGCATCTTTTAATGACTAGATGTGCCAAAATGTTACAAAATTGTAATACTGTTCATATTTTTATAATTTAAAAAGTTTTCTTTGGTTTTTACTGCATAAAACTGTATAAAAGTTATAAAATTTAAAAAATACATCACATTTTTGACAACTGATGCCTCTCGGCTTGCCAATTCATGATTTCATGGTAATTTTTATAATCCAAAGGCAAGAAAAGAGTCAGCAGCTTGACCTGATGTTAGAGGTTACATTTCCAGGCCCATTTGTAAGCGACAGATTCCATGTTAAGTCAAGCTACTGAATTCCTACAAGCTGCAAAATAGTTTTTGGGGTTGTGATCCTGTAATAACCAGTGGGGCCCGATAATCAGCACGGTTATACAATCCCACCTATTCCCTTTGTGTATAAAGTGGATGTTGTTACCTCAGGGGTCCATTTCCTTACCTCTGTTAGTTCCCAATCTTTTATAGGTTTCTTAGATTCAACATAGATTTTTATGAGACTATCAAGTCAGTTTGTAGAAAGGCTTGATATGATGGTGGGATGACTATCCTATTACTATTGAGGTGATAATTGTTTCTTCTAAGAAATTGTTTGCGATTTGTCCAGACCTAGTATTATTTGCAAATGTAAAACAGGAAGCGCAGAAAGATCGCCCGGGCTTGGCGATACTCCAGGAATGGTGAGCGCAACGGTACCAGTACCGGTACGGCTATGTAGCGCCGGCTTCCCACAAGTGCCTAGCGCGGGCCCCTGGACCAGACGGGCCACCAGGGGCGCTGCTCGCGCTCAGAGCCGGTTGGGGCACGGGATCCGTCTGGGACAGCGCAGCCGCTGACATGCGCATGAGTGGCGCTTCCGTATCAGCCTGAGTCTTCATGTACTTGAATCTTTGTTACTTGGTTTGTAGTACAAGTTATTTTGATGTTCAGTGTGTACTCGAAAAGAGTATACTATTATTAAGGTTCTATAAATGTCAGCGACAGCTGATAATGTTTTATACTGATTTTTTGGTCTACTTATTGATTAGTGAGTGAAGAGTAAGTTTTGAAGTTTTCTACTTTAATTTTGGGTCAATTTGGGTAATTTCCCCTTTTCTTCCTTTCCCCTTCTCCTTTTCTTTCTTATTTCCCTTTTAGACAGGGTCTAGCCCAGGTAACTTCAAAGACCAGATCCTCCTCTCCTCCGCAGTGCAGGCCTTGGAGGCATACACCATCACATATGGACAGCTTATTTATTTCTTAAGAATGAGAGTATTAGCTGGACACTGGTGGCTCACGCCTGCAATCCTAGCTACTCAAGAGACAGATCTGAGGATGTGGTTCAAAGCCAGCCTGAGCAGGAAGGTTTATCTCCCATAAACCACTCAGAAAAAGCCATAGCAGCGCTGTGGGTTAAGCGGTAGAGTGCTAGCCTTGAGCACAGAGAGGCTAAGGGACAGAGCACAGGCCCTGAGTTTAAGCCTTAGGACCTGCAAAAAAAAAAAAAAGAATGAGCATACTGATTTAACATTGACATAGTATAAGTTTTATGTCTTTAAATTTATCTTTTCTTCTCCTCTAGCATCAGGATCCACTTAAGGATTTCAAACTTCATTTATTTTATATATCTTATTGTTGCACTTTAGTCTTTAGGCTTTCTTTGTTTTTATTGGCATTAATATTTTAAATTTTGTGTGATAATTTACAGATGGGTTGCTTCAGATTGCATAATATTTTTGTAGAGATACTGAAGTGGTATTGCATCCTTTTCAGAGCATCACATGGTATCAGTTTGTTGCATTATTGGTTATGGCAGGAAAGACATGTTTTTTTCACCAGCAACAGTGACTTGGATGAAGTAGGATTAAGGCTCCATGGGTAGTTTCTTTAGCACTCATTTTTTCTTTTTTCTTTTCCTCTTCTCTTTCCTTTCTTATTTAGCAATGCTGAGGACTGAACCTAGTGTCTAGTGGACACTAAGCAAGTGTTTGTCATTTATCGATACCTTCCTCTCCTTTATATTGAGATTGATTCTTGCTTCATTATCCAGATGTTTACTGAGTGCTTATTGTTTATGTCTTATATTAGGATATAGTGGTGGAAAGATGTAATGTTTGTTTTTACAAAATATAAAGTTTAGTGCCTGATATAGACATTAAGCAAATAGTAATTCTGGTGGTGCCCAGTGACTTAAAGAATGGTACAGTACAGGGGTAGGGTTAAGAAGTGCAGCAGGAAATCTAGACCTGAGGGAGAGCGTTTCATGTGGCAGCTCTAGTGATTGGACACTGGCATTCTATAGTGGAATACTGGCATGTCCCATTTGGTACAGATGGGTCTGACATTTCAGAGGCCTCTGTCTAATACCTAGCAAAGTTAAGGTAAGACAGCTTAATCACAGTGTGCTTGTTTCTAGGAGCTTAACTCTTAGCACCTCAAACAGTTTGATGATACATATCTTTTCTTTCTTTTATTTTTTTGTATGTGTATGTATGTGTCTCTCAGTTTTACTTTGAAATCAGAAGGCTATAATAGAAGACCAATTGGCCGTCGCCATAGCAGAGGCAATTCAGAGAGTTGCTTAACGTGGAAACCTCAAGAACAGGGTATAACAGAGATTTCTGAAGAGTGTGGCAAGGGTCTGAGGCGTCCCCATTGTACTGTAGAGGAGGTAAGCCCTTTTAGCCTGATTTCTTTTTTTTTTTTTTAAGTGTAATAAATTTGTGTGCTCTGGTTAAAAAAAGAATCACAAGGTAACAAAAGGGAACACGGTGACTCAGTTTCCCAGTGTCTTTCCATATGTAGGCTCTACCACCCAGTTTGACTCATAGGAAGTAACCACTGTCAACTGTGCATATTCAGAAATTATTAGTTCTCAGATATAGTTATTTTCACTGTAAAGGGAAAAGGAATCCTATTAGGAAGAGATAAGATTAGAGATTCTTCTTGGGTACCTGAATTACTCTAATTTATCTGATTCTTTTTTTGAAATTAGGTCTTAGACACTGCCCAGTGCCAGTGCTCTATTGCTTGAGCCACAGTTCCACTATCAGCTTTTTGGTGATTAATTGGAGTTAAGGGTCTCATGGACTTTTCTGCTTTGGCTGGCTTTGAACTGTGATCATCAGATCTCAGCCTCCTGAGTAGCTAGGGTTACAGGCATGAACCATTGGACCCTTGAACCATTGAAACCCTGCCTTGTTTCTTTTATAAACTATAGTAACTGTCACTGAGTGAATGAGGTAAATGGTGTGCCTCTCTGCTTTTCTTTCCCCTTTCAGAGCTCTTAGTGTAGAGAGAGAATCTTTACTTGTTCCGGGGAAATTGAAGATTATTTTTGCATCTGGCATTACCCAAGACTATTAGCTGTTTCAGTGCTGGATGGTTTTCTGAGCCACTTACTTAGTTCATAAAGGAAACATTCATTTGAATCCCAAATACTGGCCTAGTTGACAGTAACTCCAGTTTAAAGGAACAGTGGTCTCTACCTTATAGGAGATTTTACGTAAATAATTGTAGTTTGACAAACTGGCAGAGAGGAATGGACCACAATCCATGACAGGGATTTTAAATAGGCTTCAATCTCTTAGGTGAGAAATTACACCGATAGGACTGAGCAAATGTGTATGAGTATTACACAAAGAATACATTTTAGAAATACTGGTATGTAATCTTATTAGGGATGTTTTTTATCGATTAAGTGTGATATACAGGGGAAAGCCTGAATTCCAGATTTTGGTCTTAGTTAAGTATGTGTCACTGACCAAGATACCCTATGTGTTTAGGGGGAAGATGATGACTTCATTTTTGGACATTGTTTAAAGTGCCTGTGAAACATGCAAGAAGACTTCTACTGTAGACTCTTGGATATGATGGGAGTGATGGGAGTTTTGAGAAGAAGGCAGAGTTAGAGACATGCTTTTGAATTTTTTTGAATTTTTCTCCATAAGGTTATTTAAATCAAGGGAGCTGATGAGATTATTGAGAGAAAGAATATAGCATAGGAAAAGAGATAGGCAAAACCATCAGCATTATGGCAGGAACAAGAAGGAATAATCTTCAATGGAGACTAAGAAGAAAGAAGAATCAGAAGAGTTTATTGTCCAGGAAGGCAAGGTCAGCTAGGTGAGATGGTGAAGGGAGATCACATAACATAAAGTCTGAAAAAAAAGCAATATATTGGATGTCCTAGAAAGCCATTAAGATTTTGGAGAGAGCAGTTCTGTTTTGGAGGCTGTAAATTCCAATTATCAAGTAGATTATTATTATATATTGCAATATTATATATTATATGCCTTATTTCAGTGTGGCTAACCTAGTTTTTTGTTAATCTAATTGTGTTAAGAATATAGATATCATTAAGATCTAGCAGGTAACATAAGTAAGTGAGGTGGGATGGAGAGCATGGCTCGTCTAAAGCAGAGAGACCTGCATAGTTCTAGATTGTTGGTCTGGTTTTTCAAGAGACCAGATTTTAGAATTTTTCTTTTTAGTATAAAGTTGGTAGTTAAGTGAAATAAATCTAAAAAAATTTATGCTGGCAAGTAAAACACATCTGTGGGACTACATTTGATTTGCTAGTCTCTGATGACTTATTTCTAAGTCTAAAATGCTAGTTCTTATCTAACCCACTTTCTTTTATGCAGGGTGTTCAAAAAGAAGAAAGAGAGAAATACCAAAAGTTATTAGAGCGAATTAAAGAAAGTAGCCATGGGAGTTCAGTCCCTCCTGTAACTTCGTATCATTACAGGTGAGCAGATTAGATACATGTTTTGTTTGTTATCTTTTTCTTTGTTTTTGTAGAGGGATTAGCCAAAAGGACTTGTTAAAAACAAAAACAACATTAAGAGAAGTAGTCCTGTAATTTGCTTGAACATTATGGCTAGTAATGGACGCTGTAGAACAATATATTTATAGAATAGTTTTCTGTTAACTTTAGAATCCTTAGTCCAGGTGAGCTCAATTCTCCTGCCTCAGCCAGGACCAAGTACTGAGATTACTAGTGTGTATCATCATGCTTAACACAAGGCACAAGTGAACTCATATTTTAAATTCTGATCTAAAAAATTATATCATTGGTTAAAAGGGCTTTAAGGGGACAGAGAGATTTTCCAATCTCCCAATACACTCATTTTCCACAATCTCTCTTTCTGCCTCTTATCTCCTGTCCATCTGTCCTCCACCCCCATTTTTCCTTTTTCTTTTTCAAAGTTTCTCTATACTTCTTTTTTCTTTCTTTCTGCCCGATCTCCACTCTTATTCCATCACACACAGTAGTTACTGAGGCTTCTGAGGGCTTGCATTTTACCAGTAGCTTCTACATTAGAGACAAGATTAAAGTCACTCAACTCCTAACAATTTTCCTTGTGAGATTCCTTGTTAATTAAGTATTCTGATAATTTGAGTAAGTAATGAGAACAGCAAAAGGAGGTGGTGTCTAGCTTTATATTTGCTTGTGAAAAGGGGACAAGAATGTGTGAATTCAAGATTCAGGTTCACTTTATAATTCTAGTAAATCTTGTACAAATACAGAGAACTTGTGATTTTTTTTTTTTTTTTGACGCTAGTCCTGGGGCTTGAAATCAGGGAATGGTCCCCAAGCTTCTTTTGCTCAAGACTAGGCTCTACCACTTGAGCCACAGTGCTACTTTTGGCTTTTTCTGTTTAAGTGGTACTGAGGAATCGAACCCAGGGCTTGCTTCATGCATGCTAGGCAAGCACTCTAAGCCACATTCCTAGCCCGAGCCTGTAGAGTTACAAGACTAACTAACTTAATAGTTCAGAAAGAACAAATTGTTTGGGAATTTTAGCTGGTTAAAAATTTTTTTTCCCTCCCCCATAGGGTCTTTTACTGTAGTGAGTTAGAATGTTAATACTCTCTCCATTTTGACTGGGCACTTTGCTTTTGTAAACTGATCTTTCTCACTTTTTTTATGTTCCTAAGTTCTCAAAGAAGTCAGATGGAAACATTAAAGACCAAAGGCTGGGTGGAAGAGCAGAATCATGGTGTCAGAACAACTCAGTTCGTTCCAAAACAGTGTGAGTTTCTTTTTTTTCTTTGATTTGTGCCAGTACTGGAGTTTGAACTTAGGGCCTAGCCACTGTTCCTTAGTTTTTTCACTCAAGATTGGTTCTCTGCTCCACTTCAAACTTTTGGTGGTTAATTGGAGATAAGAATCTCGTGGACTTTACTGTCTGGGCTCGCTTTGAACTGAGATCCTTAGATCTTAACCTTCTGAGTAGCTAGAACTACAGGAGTGAGTCACTGGTGCTTGGCTTAGCTGTATCTTAATATATTTATCTCAGAACATGTTAGAATGTATCTATGGAATTGAAAAATTGAGAGTAAGGGAACAGGAAACACTGTACGAAAGGAAATGCACTTATTATCTGACATGTAATTGTAATCCCTCTTTACATCATCCTTATAATAATAATAAAGTAAATTAACATAAAAGAAAATTGACATTCAAGTGAAAGATGGTATACCAAGCCTCAGGAATTACATAAAAAAGCTTCAAAATAAAGTAGGTTCATAAAATGTATCATTATTCCTAGGCTCCTAAGTAGTAGAATTATTTTGTAAGTCTAAAATTAATTTTCTTAACATTACTCATGTTAACTTCCTTATGTATCTCCATGAATTGTCCATTGATAATATCAAATGAGCAGATATCAATTTATGCTAAAAGATATATTTAAGAAACAAAGACTGTACTGTATTTTTTTAGGTTAGTTTGTATGGAGGCTAGTGTCTATGGATTCACTTTAGCATTTCACTATAAATGAATGTCCTGATACTTTGTGAGTTGATCTTCTGACTTAAAAATTAATTAATAAAAATCTTTTCTTTGTGATCATCACAGATAGAATTGTTGAAACCAGGGGACCTTTCTGTCCAGTGAAAAGTGAAAAGAGGTACATGGTTTATTTTATTTTATGTTTTCATTTACTAAACTTTCCAATTGATATTCATGAATAACTGTGTCTGAGGAATTGTGAACTCTTCAGCTCTGCTAGTCCACTAGCATATACGATACCTAAGTAGTTCCTAAATCTGGTACCTTACTCTCTCTTGGGAGGATGTTCCTTACCTGTAGGACATCAGGGCTTAGGAAGTAGTGTGGGTGGGTGACACATTGATTGACTAATAGGTAGTTGACCTTGCCTTAGGAGGGATGGTCAACTGTGGTAGCCCAGGGGCCAAATCTGGATCATTTGCCTTGTTTTCATAAAGTTTTATCAGATCTTGGTCCCACTTATTCATTTAAATGCAGCTATGGCTGCTTTCTGAAACTAAGTAGTAGAGAAGATGTAACAAGGCTACAAAGCCTGCAAAGCCTGAAGCTTCTCCTCTGGACTTTTTCAGAAAGATTTCTAAAACTAGTTTAAGAGTACCAGCGTACAATTAGTAGAGGTCTGTATTCTCTTAATTTTTTTTCCTCAGATGTTCAAAGGGGAAAATTCCTGACATTGAAAAGATAGCTATAATAAGACCTGAAATTGACAATGTAAGTAGAAATCCTAAGTAAATTTTATATGTTTTTTTCACTGTGTTTATATTTTGATGCCCATGGAATAAATAAAAAAGAATATATATAGTGCTTTGATTTATAGTTCTGTTATTTTCTTTGAAAAAAGGACAAACTTGGAGGATCTGTAAATTTTTCTTTTGAGCTGCAGCTAGGCAAGGACTCTAGCTTTTGACCGATGCCTCTAGCCTTTTTGCTTTTGCTGTTCTTCTTTTTTCTCTTTCTTTTCCTTTTTCTTTTGTCAGTCGTGGGGCCTGAACTCTAGGCCTGGGCGCTGTCCCTCAGCTCTTCAGCTCAAGGCTAACACTCTACCACTTGAGCCACAGAGCCACTTCCAGCTTTTTCTGCTTATGTGGTGCTGAGGAATCGAACCCAGGGCCTCATGCATGCAAGGCAAGCATTCTACCACTGAGCTACTTTCCCAGCCTTTTTGCTGTTTTTCTAATGAGCTTTTGCTTAGTGTTCATCATCTTCCTGTTTACATTTCCCCACATAGCTGGGATGACAAGCATGCACTGCTGCACTCAGATTTTTATTGATTGAGGTGGGGATCTCACGAATACTTAGCTTAGGCTAGCCTCAGATCACAGTCCTCCAGCACCTGGGATTACAGATGTGTACCATCATGAGTTGGAGTTGTTGGATTTTTATCTCTGTACTAGTCACTTCTCATTATAAGAGAAACTGGTCTGACTACATACTGTTTATCTGTTGCATGGCTTCTTTTGGAGAATTTTTATGGGGGATTATGGGGTAGAGTTGAAACAGAGTCTCACTATGTAGTTGAGACTTAACTGGAACTCATCCCAGGCCTGGGTTGCAAATATGAGTAAGAGAGAAAGGGAACATTAAAGAGAAAGGAGCTGAGCCTGAGAGAAGTCAGTAGGGCTGTTCCTTTTTCTTTCTTTTTTTGGCTAGTCCTGGGGTTCGAACTCAGGGCCTGGGCACTATCCCTGAATTTTTTTTTTGCTCAAGGCTAGCACTCTACCACTTGAACCACAGCACCACTTTTGGCCTTTTCTGTTTATGTGGTACTGAAGAATTGAACCCAGGGCTTCATGCATGCTAGACAAGCACTCTACCACTAAGCCTCATTCCTAGTACAAGGGTGTTTCTTAAGTCTTAAGAAATGCTGAGCTGAGGGAAGGGGACACACCTGACAGTGAGAATAAAGAGTACTAGCCAGTGTGGTTCTAGTCCAAAGCTATGTTTCTAAATAAATTTCCTAATTATTAAAAAAAAAAAAATCTCGCTGGGCACTGGTGGCTCACGCCTGCAATCCTAGCTACTCAGGAGGCTGAGATCTGAGGATCGCGGTTCAAAGCCAGCCCGGGCAGGAGAGACCGTGAGACTCCTATCTCCAATAAACCACCAGAAAACCGGAAGTGGCGCTGTAGCTCAAGTGGTAGAGCGCTTGCCTTGAGCTGAAGAGCTGAGGGACAGCGCTCAGGCCCAGAGTTCAAGCCCCACGACCGACAAAAAAAAAAAAAATCTCAAGGCCAGGCGCTGGTGGCTCACGCCTGTAATCCTAGCTACTCAGGAGGCTGAGATCTGAGGATCGTGGTTCAAAGCCAGCCTGGGCAGGAGAAACCATGAGACTCCTATCTCCAATAAACCACCAGAAAACTGGAAGTGGCGCTGTAGCTCAAGTGGTAGAGCGCTCACCTTGAGCTGAAGAGCTGAGGGACAGCGCCCAGGCCCAGAGTTCAAGCCTCACGGCCGACCCAAAAAAATAAAATAAAAAATAAAAATAATTTAAAAAAAATCTTAAGGTTCTGAATATCAAACGTAGGGCCTTATACATGCTAAGTAAATAATCTATCACTGAGCTATATTCCCAGCCAGTAATCCTTGAGTTTCTATGGATGTTCATATATATGCATGAGTAAATTAGTGGCCAGTTGGCAATTAACTTTTCTATTTAATACATTTTTCTATAATACTACTTTATATCTGTGTGTGCTTGTGAGTGTGTGTGCGCATACCGGTACTAAGGCTTGAACTCATAGCCTTGTGCTACCAACTTTTTCACACCTGGCTAGTGCTCTACCATACTTGAAGTGAAACACTTCTATCTGACATTTTGTTGGTTAGTTAGAGATAAGAGTTTCACAGACTTTTCTGTCTGGGCTGCCCTTTGAACTTCAATCCTGATAGCTCAGCTCCTGAGTAGCTATGACTATAGGCATAGGACCCAAGTGCTCAGCAATATACTACAAAAAAGATGAAATAGAGGGCTGTGGGTATAACTCATTGGTAGAGTCCTTGCCTAGCATTTGAAGAGGCCCTGGGTTCCATTCCCAGCACTGCAAATATTAAAAAACTTTGTGTAAGGAAGAGAGCTGTAATTTATTGTCCATAATGGAATTGTAGGTCATGTTTTTTGCTTTTTAAAAAATAATTCCAAAGTCTCTTTTAGACACTTTATTTTTAATTGGGATAGAAATTGTGGGCTGAGAAGGTGGCTCAGTGAGGCCCTGGGTTTGATTCCTCAGCACCACATAAGCAGAAAAAAAAAGAGCTGGAAGTGGTGCTGTGGCTCAAGTTGTAGAGTGCTAGCCTTGAGCTGAAATGCTGAGGGACATGGGGCTGGGAAGGTAGCTCAGTGGTAGAGCTCTTGCCTTGCATGCATGAGGCCCTGGGTTCGATTCTCAGTACCACATAAGCAAAAAGAAAAAGAAAAAAGCTGGAAGTGGCGCTGTGGCTCAAGTGTTAGAGCACTAACCTTGAGCTGAAGAGCTGAGGGACAGCGCCCAGGCCCAGAGTTTAGGCCCCATAACCAGACCTCCCCCCCCCCCCAAAAAAAAAAAAGAAACTGAAAAGACTTCCTTGCTGTTTAATGTGTCTGATGAGTCTTACTTAACTCTTCGTTTTCCTTTGCAGAACAGGCAGATGTGCTAAACCTGTTTTAGGGGATTCACTAATTCTTTTATCTTTTAAGAGAATAGCACTGTTTTATGTTTCATTTGTAATATGTGGTATATGTGTAAGATCAAGCATGTCAGTAGAATATAGAACCTTTTTTAATCAGAAAAGAGGACATCAGCTGGAACCTGATCTATCAGAAGAAGTGTCAGCCCGACTCCGCCTGGGGAGTGGAAGCAATGGATTACTCAGGAGGAAAATGTCAGTAGTTGAGGCAAAAGAAAAGAATTTCTCAGGCAAAGAGAAGGACAGAAGAACAGATGATCTCCTTGAACTTACTGAGGTAGTGTTTCTTGTATTGATCAGAATTAAAGTGATTTCTGTTACTCTGAACTTGAATGCATGTTTTGCTTTGTTTTGTTTTGAATAAAAAAAAATGAGGCCCCAGGTCTGCTCACATCAACTACATTGATCACAATGACTGTGTTTCTACCCTGCAAATGTGTTAAGTTGTATTGTAGGGCATTAAGAATGAGTGCATTGTTGTTGTATTTTAATTGTGTTGGTTTTGCTCGTTCTTAGGTTTGAACTCAGGGCTTCCTACTCACTTCTGTGTAGCTAGGATCATTGGTGCTGACCAGATCATTCCATGATTTATTTATTTATTTATTTTTTTGGTTGGTCATGAGGCTTGAAGTCAGGACCTGGGCCTGTCCCTGAGTTTTTTTTTTTACTGAAGGCTACTCTAGCACACAGACATAGAGCATATCACATTGAACCACAGCTCAGCTTCCAGTTTTTCAGGTGGCTAATTGGAAGTAAGAGTCTGACAGACTTGCCTGCCTAGGCTAGCTTCAAACTGCAGTCTTCAGAACTTAGCCTCCTGAGTAGCTATGATTATAGATATGAGCCATCAACCAGTGCCTGGCTGGCTGCCCTCCCTCCCTCCCTCTCTTCCTTCCTTCCTTCCTTCCTTCCTTTCTGTTACACAAAGTGATTTTCATTCCAGAAATCAGGTTATTAGTACAGTGCTTGTTTTGTTTTGAGAAGGGGTCTCTGGAACATGTCTGCCCAGCCTGTCCTCAAACCACAATCCTCCTCCCAATCTCAGTCTCCAAAAGTAGATAGGATTATGTATCTGAGACACTGGCACTTGACCTTAAAAATCCTATGTAGGGACTGGGAAGGTGGCTCAGTAGTAGAGTGCTTGCCTTGCATGCTCAAGGCCCTGGGTTCAGCACCACATAAGCAAAAACAGAAAAAGCCGGAAGTGACGCTGTGGCTCAAGTGGTAGAGCGCTAGCCTTGAGCTGAAGAGCTGAGGGACAGCGCCCAGGCCCAGAGTTCAGGCCCCACGACCGGACCCCCCCCCAAAAAAAAAAAAACCAAAAAAACCCCCCCAAAATCCTATGTAGGTGATCCTGCATATTGGGCCCTCCTCTATTGTTTTTTTTGGTAATGTTGATTCTAATTAATGTAAATGTCTTGAGTAGTTTTAGTATATTTGGCATGGAATTGAGAAAGAACCATAAATAACAAAATTAAATACAAGTAAAAAAAGTAGTAAAAATAATTGAATGAAATAAATTTTGGTTGAAGTTTACAGGTTCAGATTTGTACTTAAACTATACATTTGTATACATTTGTCTGTAGAGTTCTTTAGAATAATGAAGCCATATAAGGAGATCATTACTAGTAAGACTCCTCTGTAGTTGTAAATTTGAATATTTTATCCTCTTTTTTAGTAAGTCTTAGTATGTTTTTCTCAGGTGTTGCTGGTATGAAAAACTTTTCTTTTTCTTTGTTTTGGTCAGTTGTGGGGCTTGAACTCTGGGCTTGGGTGCGATCCCTGTGCTCTTCAGCTCAAGGCGTGTGCTCTACTGCTTGAGCCACAGTACCACTTCTGGTTTTCTAGTGGTTTTTATTGGAGATAAGAGTCTCACAGACTTTCCTGCCCAGGCTGGCTTTGAACCTCGATCCTCAGACCTCAGCCTCCTGAATAGCTAGGATTACAGGCATGAGCCACTGGCACCCGGCTTCTCTTTCTTTCTTCTTCTTCTTCTTCCTTCTTCCTTCTTCCTTCTTCTTCCTTCTTCCTTCTTCCTCCTTCTTCTTTTTTGGTGCCAGTACAGGGGCTTGAACTCAGGGCCTCACTTCTTCTTCTTTTTTTTTTTTTTTTTTTTGGGTCCGCTCGTGGGGCTTGAACTCTGGGCCTGGGCGCTGTCCCTCAGCTCTTCAGCTCAAGGCTAGCGCTCTACCACTTGAGCCATAGCGTCACTTTCGGCTTTTTTCTTTTTGCTTATGTGGTGCTGAGGAATCGAACCCAGGGCCTCAGGCATGCAAGGCAAGCGCTCTACCACTGAGCCACCTTCCCAGCCCCATGGGCCTCACTTCTGTTTTTTTTTTTTGTGTTTGTGTTTGTGTGTGTGTGTGTGTGTGTGTGTGTGTATGTGTGTGTGTTTGCTGGTTAATTGGAGATAAGATACTGTCTGATTTGTCTACTTTTGAACCAGTATCCTCAGCCTTCTGAGTATCAGCCTTCTGAGTAGGATTAGAGGCGTGAGCTATCAATGCCTGGTTTTTTTTTTTTTGTACTTGTTTGTTCTTTTTAGTCTTAAACATTCAATATTTGGTAATAGTTCTGAGTTGAAGTAGCAGCCTCTGTACTTTCTAATTCAGGACATGGAAAAGGAAATCAATAATGCCCTAGGCCATGGCCCACAGGATGAGATCCTAAGTAGTGCTTTCAAATTGAGAATTACTCGGGGAGATATCCAAACCTTAAAGAACTATCACTGGCTCAATGATGAGGTAAGTTGTCTTTTATTTCTCCTTTGATTATCATTACATTTAACTATTTACTATGTATAACCAAAGCAATTTTGACCCAAAGGATGGTAAAGCAAGTTTTAGTTTTAATTTTTTATTTTGCCTTCCCATCACCCCAGTTTTAGGGGTTGAACCCAAGCCATTGTGGGCTGAGATCACGGTTCAGAGCCAACCCGGGCAGGAAAGTCTGTGTGACTATTATCTCCAATAAACCACTTGAAAACTGGAAATAATGCTGTGGCTCAAGTAATAGAGCACTCGCCTTGAGCTGAAGAGCAGAGGGATAGCTCCCAAGCCCAGAGTTCAAGCTCAATGACCAACCAAAAAAAAACCCAACTATTTTGTTTCATAGAAAATTTGGGAAATATGGGAAACGTAAATTATTCAAAAGATGCTATAACTATTTTGGCATATCTCCTATGTAATACGTTTAAATTAAGGGACAGTTTCTGTAGCTATTTCTTTTTACATATTTCTCATGTCCTATAGTTATATGCACCCTTTTATTATTGCACAAACTCTGTGGCCCTTACAAATGTTCCTCTTATTCTTCAAAAGCACAATCACATTTCTTTTTTCCTTTTTTGGTGTGGAAGGAGGAGTTTGTGATGCTAGGCACTGAGCTTAAGGTCTTGCACTAGGCTATTGCTCTACCACCACTGAGCTAAATCTTCAGCCCTTTATTCCTTTCGATTTCTGCCATTTTGCTCAGTTAATTTTTTTGGTATTCTTGCATAGACATTCCTTATATCTGCTTTTAGTACTATCCTTTTCCTAAGCATCTCATTTTCTAATTCATACTAATTCAAATATAAATTTAATTTTGATAATACACTTGTCAGGTTCCAACTTTTACTCTCTTGGTGTTTTACAGGTCATTAATTTTTACATGAATCTTCTAGTGGAAAGAAATAAAAAGCAAGGCTATCCAGCACTTCATGCATTCAGTACTTTCTTCTATCCTAAATTAAAGTCTGGGGGTTACCAAGCAGTGAAAAGATGGACCAAAGGGGTAAATCTCTTTGAACAAGAACTTATTCTGGTGCCTATTCATCGGAAGGTACATTGGAGCCTGGTGGTGAGTTGAGAGGGTTCATTAGTAAATACAGACTATCCTCCCCTCCCCTCTCATCTCTCCTTCCTTCCTTTTCTTAGGGTTGATCTTAGGACCTCAAATATACTAAACAATCACTGTTTCACTGAGCTACAGTCCCAAGCCCAGACAATTGTCTTAAATGTCTAATGGAAGGCCAGCAGTGTATATGAAAGACATCCTGAGCAGACTCCCTCCTCAGGTCCTGAGTTACACAATATAGAAAGCTGGAAGACATGGTTTCTATACTGGGAGAGTTTTCATTTTCGACACCAGAGTTTATTCAGTTAGTTTTGTTTATAAGATGGTACAGGCTTATTATAGAAAGGTGAAGGAAAGGAAAATAAACTCATCACATTGAAAGGATGACTAAGGTTTTGGTGAAAATGTTTCCAGGCCTTTATCTTAGAATTTAAGCAATATATAATATTAAACTGATATTTTCTGTGCTGTTTTATAACTTGCTAAAAATCATGTCTAAATCCATTCATGTTGACTTATGAATTTTTAAACAGATGCCTCTTTGTTTTGAAAATGAAATATTTATCTTGGCTAATGTTTAAGATGTTACTGGGTAGACATCGTGGTACCCATTTGTAATCCCAAAACTTGGGCAGGCTGAGGAGGAGGGCTGTGAATTTGAGGCCAGCTTGAGTTATGAAATAAGACCTTGTTTCAAAAACTGCCCCCAAAATAATGTTTCTGTATGTTGCATTTTCCCATTATAGGTGGTGGACCTAAGAAAAAAGTGTCTTAAGTATCTGGATTCTATGGGACAAAAGGGCAGCAAGATCTGTGAAATTCTCCTGTAAGTACAGGCTGCAAAACTTCACTGTGTTTTATTATTATACCTTTGTTAGATAATCACCCTTCTGTTTAATCCTAGAGAGCTCTGGATGGTGATTGGCTTTTGGTTTTTGTTGTTGTTTTGTTTTCGCTTGTTTAATCATTTTAATTTTTTAAAATCTAATTAAATGTGCGATTTTGGTTATATAATTTTCTTTTTCTTCAGTCATGGATTTTGCACTGCTCCTGAGCTCTTTTGCTCAAGACTCATGCTCTACCACTTTGAGCCACAGCTCCATGTCTTGTTTTTGAGTGGATAGGTGGAGATAGAGTCACACAGGACTTTATTGCCTGGGCTGGCTTCAAACTGCCATGATCTTCAGATCTTGGCCTCCTGAGTAGGTAGGATTATAGGCATGAGCCACCAGTGACCAGCTGGATATATGATTTTGACTTTAGGTGTATACTTTTTATTATTTAAAAATTATTAGAAATATTAACTGTCTAAAGTGAGTTTCATTATGATATTTTCATACACACACACACACACACACACACACACACACACACACACACACACACACACACACACACACACACACACACACACACACACACACACACACACACACACACGATAAACTTTAAAAATATTCTACCCTCCCCATTACTTCCTCTGATTCCTTTTTGGCTCTCCTGCTGTTCCCCTTCCTTCTGCCAGATAGTCCTCTCTCTACTTTCAGATCTTTTTTTTCAACATAGATTCCATATATAAGAGGAAACATGGGATAATTCTTTCCGAGTCTATCTTATCTTACCTAACATAATGATCTCCTATAATTCTTTTTTCTGTGGGTGATATAATTTTGTTTTTCTGTACGGCTGAATAAAACGTCATTGTGTGTGTGCATGAGACCCTGATTTTAGATCCCAGCACTGCCAAAAAATATCCAATGGACTCAGTTGTAGTTCAAGTAGTAGAGAACCTACATAGCAGTTCACTCCTCAGTAGTTCAGTCCTCAATGACTGGAGATGTGGCTCAAGTTTGCCAAGTTTGCCATCTGAGCAAGAAAGCTGCATGAAAGCACAAGGCCCTGAATTCAAGCCTTGATAGTAATATACACACAGAAGATCTTTGGAATTGTTTATTCCTAAAACTACAGAAACTAAAATCACATAGAAGAAGGAACTTCTGTGGTAATTACAAAAACCTGCTTGTAAAGCATAGCCATTTCTTAGCAGTATTCTTAACTGTATAATTTGGTTATGTGAATTTCATAGTAAATGGGCACCTTGGCAAGATAATTTCCCTGTAAACCTCTTAAGTATTTACTGGAAGTAAACATAGGCTTTTGCTTTTAATTTTTTTTTTTTTTTTCCAGAGCTGAGGACTGAATTCAGGGTCTTGCACTTGCCAGGCCAAGTGCTCTTCCACTGAGCTAAATCTTCAACCCCTGCCTTTATTTATTTATTTATATATTTTTTTGCTGGTCGTGCGGCCTGAACTCTGGGCCTGGGCATTATCCCTCAGCTCTTCAGCTCAAGGCTATCTCTCTACCACTTGAGCCACAGTGCCACTTCTAGCTTTTTCTGCTTATGTGGTGCTGAGGAACCCAAGGCCTCATGCCTGCAAGCAAGCACTCTACCACTGAGCCACCTTCCCAGTCCTGCCTTTAATTTTTGTAAGGATGAAAATACTACTAAGTGAATCTTTTTTTTTTTCTTACAAATCAATGGCTTTTAGCGTATTTATTTTGTTACCATCATCACAGTCAACTTATTTTTTTTAAATTATTAAATAGGTGATGTACAGAGGGGGTTACAGTTATGTAAGTTAGGTAAAGACTACATTTCTTTTTGGACAATGTCATTCCTTCTAAATTAATCTTATTTAAAAAGTCATTAATAGTAGCTCATTTCTCTTTTTTCCCAATGTTATTTTGGTGTATAATATCCTTTATTTTTCTTGTGCTGGAGATCGAACTCAGGATCAAACATGCAAGGTAGCTGCTCTTGTACTAAACTACATCTCCAGCACTTTAGAAGATCTTCTATAGTTATGGTTGTTTACCTTAACTAGAAAGTATAAGCTGGTCCTAGTGGCTCATGCCTGTAATCCTAGCTACTCAGGACTACTCAGGAAGCTGAGGTCTGAGGATCATGATTCAAAGCCAGCCAAAGAAGATAAATACAAGGGATTCTTACTTCCAGTTAACAGTAGGAAGCCAGAAACAGAGGTGTGGCTACCAGCCTTGAGTGAAAAAGCCAAGTGACTGTGTGAGGCCCTATAAGTCCTAATACTGGCACAAGAAAGTAAGTTTAGGGAAGAGGTTGAGATAGGTGTAAGGTATACTATATAGGTAGATTTCATTTAGGTAGCTGATAAAGAGATTACCACGTGGTATTCAGGCAGGAAAAGATGTTTATTTACTGAACTGCTGCCTCCACTGTGCATGGTAGAGAGGCATACCTGAAAGGGGGAGACCCACCCCAGGCCAGGACTTATCTAGGCCGGGGAGGGGAAGGCCAGGGAGGGGAAGAGGTGTGGCCAGGTTGGGGAAAGATGTGAGACCAGGTGGGGGAAAGATGTGAACTTAGGGCCTGGTCCAATTGGAGGTGTGACCAGGGGTAGCCCATGATGAGACCTAGCAGGAGGGGGAGGTGACTGCTTTCTGGTATGCCAGTTACCTAAGTAACACAGTTACTGGGCAGAAACAGCTGAGAGGTGGAGAGGTGTCTGCACAGGCTCTGCCTGGCCCTAGGCAGACCTTACCTTCCAGCCTTTTGGTAATTATGAAAAAAGGCACAGATTCTCTCTGGCTGCTTCCTGCTGGCAAGAGGTGTTGACATTAGGGGTAAAAGGCGGAGATGTGGTCCCCTCTGGGAGAAGGCAGCAGTTATCCCTTGGTGGTAGTCCTTGAATGAAGTCTGAAAGAAGTCTCATGAGGCAGGGAGGGGCTGGGCAAAAAAAAAAAAAAAATACTAGAGAGCACACAAACAGCAAGAGGAAGGAAGGGTTCAGGGCAGAAAATTAAAGATAGAATGACTTGGCTAGAATGGCTAGTTCTTATCTCCTGCATTCCAGGCTGTCCTGAAGTTGGTAGAAATGTCCCTAGCTACTTCTTATATCTGGTGACTATGTATCAGTTAACAAAGGCAAGAATGTAAATTCCTGTCCTGTTGGAAGGTAGACAGGTATGGACATTAGATGGGTAGGCTTCTTACTTTATTGACCTTTTGGCTCTGGTTAATTTTGAAAGGGCAGGCACAAAGTGGCTGATACGACATCATCTCCTCTTACTCTTCTCTATGGTCCCTTGTTCCTTGGATTGGCTGAGTCCCAGGGGTCTATAGGTGCTTGTTGCTGGTATAGCTTGTCCTAGTTGGCATCATGGGCTTTGAACTCAAGGCCTGGGCACTGTTTCTGAGCACTTCTGCTCGAGGCTAGCACTCTACCACTCTGAGTCACAGAACTACTTCCAGTGTTTGGCTGGTTAATTAGAGATAAGAGTCTCTTGAGCCATGCTTCCAGCCTGGCTCTTTGCTGGTTAGTTGAGAGATGGAGTCTCGGATTTTACTGCCTGGGCTGGCTTTGAACTGCAATCTTTGCCACAAAATCCCTTTATTATTTCCAATTAAAGCAACAAGGAGATCAAATAGAAATAAGTAGAGCTTACCTGCTCCTTATCAAGAATTGACTAACAAATATTCTTCAATGACAAAACTTGTTAGATGTGATAAGAGTTTTAGCACAGATATAGTATTGATTTCTGGTGACCCTAATTATGCCTAAGTTAACCAAAGTTCACAACAGGCTCTCCTGGCCTCCACCTGTTTCACTATCATAACAACATAGCCAGCCTTTTCCAGGTCAGGCTTGGTAAGATTTATAAATCTAATATTACAGAAAGAATGTCACACAAGAGTCTTGGGTTTTGCAAATCCAAAGCAGTCTTTTACCAGGAATCAGCCGCATGTGATAGAGTCAAGCAGGAGTCTAATCTACTTTTACCATGGTGGAGGTAGTCAGGATGGTCTTGGCTGGAGTGAGATTATCTTCCAGGTTGGAAGAGATGGACTGGATCTGGACTACATGTAGACTGGCTGGCGCTGAACTACAAATCCAAACTGAACTACTTCAGGAATCTCAGACCATTTAAGCCACATAACTTGATTACAATGCTAGATAACAAGTGTATACAGACACAGACATACACACACAGTGTGCACATTGAGTTTTACAGTGTATAAAAATGAATAACGGCTATAGACTCTTGGAATTCCAGCAGTAGGATGGCATTATTTTGCCCAATAGTTGAGAACCACATGGTCAGTGCTAGAATAGGCAACACCAAACAAAAAAGTCAAAACTCAGAACCCAAGAATTTTGACAATATGTTTAGACATCTTTGCTTACAAAGATGTCTTTATGGTTGGGCCTCATTTCCAGGGCCTGTGAAAAGAGGCAGCAACTTGTTAGCAAGGCACAGTAGAATAAGTGGGTGGAGGAATAGTAAGCTTGGAGGAAGGGGAAGGTCAGATAGCCAAACCCTTAACCCACCATGTGGCCAAGATGGTGAACTCATGGTGCAAATTTCTGCACAAGTCATGATAGTAAGAAAACTTGGTGGAGCTTTATTGAATTAGCAAACAAGCAGACAAAGAAGCAGAAAGGAAAGGTACCCTCTTAAGAGTGTGGGGGCTCTCAAGGAAAAAGAGAGAGAGAGATTGAACTATAAGACAAAGTTACCTTTCTAGAGGAGATGATTGGGAGACAGAGGTGAAGGGCTTAGTGAGACAGAGGTCAGGCAAAGAAAACTTCAACATATGGAAACTGAAAACTTTCAAACCTAGAGTGGCTAGCCTTTGAGAGAGAACCTAGAGGGGGCCCCAGGACCCAGCCTGCATTGCACTCTTCAGGGTACAAGCCAAAAGGTTGGAGAAAAGACAGAGAGAGAGAAAGGAAGAGAGAGGGAAAGTTGGACATGATTGGCAGAGAGAGAGAGAGGGAGAGAGAGAGAGAGAGAGAGAGCGAGAGCAAAGAGAGCCTGAAAGTAAACAGACTTCTGACCATTTACCATTGCAATGGCAAAAACTGTCTACATCTGAGAATGACATAAAAAAAATGGGTGCTCTGGCTTTCCAGGGAGCTTAGGAGGCATTTCAGAGGGGTTTCATAGCACACCATTAAAAGTAGTGGGGGGAGAGTCAGTCTGGTGAGTGAAGGAGAGTTGACCAGGCAGAAATGGCAGAGCCATTTAGAGAGAATGGCCAAGGCCCCCAAACCAAGTGTCCTCAGCTCTGGAGGTGACCTGGCCTTTCAACTAAAGGCCATGGGAGCCCTCTGGCGTGGCACCACATTTGGAGAGAGACTGAGCAACAGAGAACTTGTAGAGAGTAGTTTCACTCACCAGAGTAGATAAGTGGTGCGGACATGGATGTGAAGGCCAGCAATGGTATTGGTGAAAAGTCTTGCGTGGCATCTCACAGCAGTTCAGTTTGTGGAAAAGGGGATGGTCAGACATGGAAAAAAGTGGAAGGAACTGTGCCATTCCTGCCATCCAAGTCATGGAACCCTACGTAAGGTATATTATAGCTAGGTTTCATTAGGTAGCTGATGAAGAGAGCAACACATGGTATTCAGGCAGGAGAAGAAGTTTATTACAAAACTGCTGCACTCCGCCACTTGTGCCACAACTCTACTTCTGGCTTTTCGGTGGTTAATTGAAGATAAGAGTCTTAACGACTTTCTGCAATCCTCTGATCTTAGCTCAGATCTTGGCTTCCTACGTAGCTAGGATACTGGGCATGAACCATCAGGGCCCAGCAGACGTTTTTACCTTTTAGGGGCCAGTTTTTATCCCTTTGGTGACATTATTGCTCCCATTAATAGTACTTTTTGTATTCCAATGCAGCCTTATTTTATATGCAAAGAAGGGTAAGAACTAAGATATCTGGTTTGCTGAATAAGATATTTTTTTTGGGGGGGGGGGGGTCGGGTTGTGAGGCCTGAACTCTGGGCCTGGGCGCTGTTCCTCAGCTCTTCAGCTCAAGGCTAGTGCTCTACCACTTGAGCCACAGCACCACTCCTGGCTTTTTTCTTTTTGCTTATGTGGTGCTGAGGAATCGAACCCAGGGCCTCATGCATGCAGGGCAAGTGCTCTACTACTGAGCCACCTTCCCAGCCCCTAGCAGTCACAATTTTGAAGAGTGGAATGAGCATGGGTTTAAAAATGGTATATTTGTGAAACAGCACAGAGTCTTTTGTAATAATGGTCTCTCTGCTGGGGTTTGGTGATACATTCTTTTTGTTTTGTTTTCTTTAGTCAGTATCTACAGGATGAAAGTAAGACCAAAAGAAATGTTGATCTAAATCTTTTAGAGTGGACCCACTACAGCGTGAAGTCACATGTAAGTGATGATCATTAATCTCTATTTGACTGACTTTGTTACATTTACTGGAAAGTACCATATTATTCATACTATTTTTTCTTCTTTCCTTTACTTCAATCATTCCCATTCTCTCCTAAAGTACATCATTTGTTTTTTGTTATTGCTGTTACTGAGAATTGACCTTAGGGCCTCATTTGTGTTAAACAACAATGTACCTCTGAACTAAAACCTTAATCCTAAAGTATGGATCTTAAATGTTACTTAAGATGTTACTTTTTTTTTTTTTTGGTCCTGTCATGGGGCCTGAACTCTAGGCCTGGGCACTGTCCCTCAGCTCTTCAGCTCAAGGCTAGCGCTCTACCACTTGAGCCATAGCGCCACTTCTGGCTTTTTTCTTTTTTCTTATGTGGTGCTGAGGAATTGAACCCAGGGCCTCAGGCATGCAAGGCAAGCGCTCTACCACTGAGCCACCTTCCCAGCCCTTAAGATGTTACTTAAGTGTTACTTCTGAAATTTTAGTCATTAATTTAACCAAAATAGTTGCTTCTTTTTTTTTTTCTTTTTGTTTCACATATAAATATTAACCAGGAAAATGCAGTCACCAGCTTGTCTCATAGCCCAACAGTGCTATGAGACTAAAGAAAGACATACAGGAGGTATGGCCCAAGTGGTAGAGGGCCAGCCTGGAGTGAAAAAGCTTAAGTGAGAGCACAAGGCCCTAAGTTCAAGTCCTAGTACTGGCATACATGCAAGTGCATGCACTTGCGCGTGCGCGCGCACACACAAATATATGTACAAGCAATCCAGACTGTACAGAGTGCAATTTATTGGTGTCTTACTGACAGAAGCATTGTCCTAGGTGGCAAAAAGACCCTTGGAACTCCATGGTTTGGGTGAAAAGAAGAACTTACAAAGGGATTAGGACACAAATGGCTAACTCAAATCCAGAATTATCTGGAGCTAATATCAAAGACTTCAGGCACATTCCTTGTACTTAATGCTCTAACAGAGCTGTGAAGCTCTACATACCACTCCAGTGTTTTCAGCTATTTATAGGTGTGCTGGAAAACTGTGGGAGAAAAATTCAGAAGAAATTATGATGGTTATCACTCAAGATGGTTGTGATCATGTCAAGCTGAATTCCTACATATCTATAGCATATCTTCCATAGACGTGAAAAACAGAACAGTAATTCTAAGTCAGCTATCTTTTTCCTGGTTAATGTTAAAAAAGTTTAAAATTTTTGCCCAAAATTTTTCTGGTGGTTTGTTAGGTTGTGGGGTCCCATGTTATGAATCAACACTCAAGCATGCTGATTTTAAATGTACTTTGTCTCTCACTAGATTGAAATCTCAACTCAGAGTTTGCAAATATCACCATCTTTGAGTCCTAATGGCATCCCTTCAAGTAACATGAATTCAGTTTTAGCCTTAACCTGAATATAAAAGCTTAACTATCTTCATCTAAGAACATTTTCATTTTCAAATTAAACAATTTAAAAGTGAGATCTTGAAATTTCTTGAGGAAAGGACAAATAGAAGTGGAGTCTAAGAGGATAAATACTGGGTTCTGGTATGGGAAGTGTAATAAAACGTTCTTTCTACATTAGATTTTGTGGTTCTGTCTACTCAAGAGTACTAGCTTTGGGAGAAAAGTATAGGAAATGTAGCACATTGTGAATAGTGTGCCACTTCCATCTTTTCTTCCAACAATCAACTGCATTTCTTATATTTATTTATTTGTGGTTCTAAGGTTTTGAGTCTTACATTTACTAAACGAGTGTTCTACCTCCTGTGCTAAAAACCTAGCCTTTGAACTGTATTTTTGTGAATGACAATGGAGTTATTGTCAAGTATGTTGTTCAGTGGTGGGCTCTTACTGTCTGGTACTTCTTATGACTGGCAGCTCAGGTTTGTAAAGAACTTTCTGATATGAGACAGTCCATGCCTAGGGGTCTATGTAGGTATGGAACTACCTTTCACTTACCTTGCTCTTCCAGCTGCTTTGCTTCAAGTTCTGTTTCTGCCTCAGGGACAGAACTGAGCATCAAGCCAGTGTCCTTGTTGCTTAAAGCCTGTCAGAGGCCTTTCTCTGTGCTGCTCAAAACAACAGGGGTTTCAAGCAGTCCATCTGGCTGGAAGTTAGTCATTGTATATTGAAGTAGGATGGTTAGTTGTATTTTAAGCATATCAGATTCACCTACACTTAACAACCCCCCACTTTTTTTTTCTGCCAGTTTTGGGGCTTGAACTTAGGGCCTGGTCACTGTCCCTGAGCTTCTTTTGCTCAAGGCTAGCATTCTACTACTTGAGCCACCAGCCACTACTGGCTTCTTCTGTTTATGTGGTACTAAGGAATCAAACCTAGGGCTTCATGCATGCTAGGCAAGCACTCTATCACTAAGCCACATTCCCAACCACACTTAACCCTTTTTACAGTTGACTACTGCTTCTGAAATAATTTGGACTAGCATTCCCATTTTTGGAAATATACCTTCCAGTTGAGTTTCTTGTCCTGTTTTTCTTTTCAGCTCTAGGAACTCATGTATGCTTGTTACCTGTCAGCTGAATCCCCAACCCTTGGTTTATTTTCCTTAAGAGATAGAACTTCTACTTGCTCTTATCTTTTATAAAATATTTTCTACATAGTCACATATTCCATGACATTGTTTTTTTTTGTTTTTGCGGGGTGGGGGGGGGGGTCCGGTCGTGTGGCCTGAACTCTAGGCCTGGGCGCTATCCCTCAGCTCTTCAGCTCAAGGCTAGCACTCTACCACTTGAGCCACAGCGCCACTTCTGGCTTTTTTTCTTTTTGCTTATGTGGTGCTGAGGAATCGAACCCAGGGCCTCATGCATGCAAGGCAAGCGCTCTACCACTGAGCCACCTTCCCAGCCCCGACATTGTTTTTTTTACGTTACATGGATGAAATTGTGTGTATATATGTAGTAACAGATTTAGCATATACCTTTATCACACTGTTTTACTACAGTGATACTTAGGAACGTCTAAGAAATTTGTATTAAGTGACATTCTTTCCCTTTCTTCCTTTTGGTTTTATAATTTTAGGAGATTCCTCAACAATTGAATGGGAGTGATTGTGGAATGTTTACTTGTAAATATGCAGATTATATTTCTAGGGACAAGCCTATCACATTTACGCAGGTAAGTGAAGCATCCTCCTTGTGAAACATTTTGTCAGTGCCTGGCACTGGTTCTCAGTTAAGTACTTGCTCCACTACAGTGTGATTGCTATGAATCTCAGGCATTACCCTGCTCTTGTCAGAATTAGGGCTGGTCAGGGCATCTATCCTTGGTGATTGGTGGGATAATTTGCTTGTCTATGAATTGCAGTGTTCTGCGTATTACTGTTATTTCTGTGTATTACTGTTATTATTAAAAAGAGATATGTAACAGCAAGGACAAAGCAGGCTTTGTAAAGAAGGGCGGAAGCCACAGGTTTGATATGGGACCATGAATCCTTTTCCTCTTTGTTCTGCTTAGTGTTTGGGTTCTCCATGGCTCTACATTTGGGTGGAAACTCAAGAATGTTAGAAACTCTTGAGAATGTCTGTTTGTAGCTGTAGATTAACTCTTACTAAAATTTTTTCTCATTGCCAGGCACTGGTGGCTCTCACAGAATCATGGTTCAACATTAGCTTGTGCAGGAAAGTCCAGGAGATGTATCTCCAATTAATTCCCCAAAAGCTGGAAGTGGCACTGTGGCCCAAGTGGTAGAGCACTAGCTTTGATCAAAAATGCTTAGAGACAGTGCCCTGGCCCTGATCTTAAGCCCTAGAACTGGCACCAAATTTTTTTCCCCCTTATTATCAGACTTCAGTTTGGTAGAGATGTACTGAATTTATTGAGTATTAAAACTGAAAACTCCATTTCATGCTTTGGAGGAACATGAAGTAATTAGGGTCTATGTTAAAGTCATATAATTCTAATAAAAATAAAACATTTAACTAGTTAATCTCATTTTAATTAGAAGAAATGTACAGTTTTTTGGGCCGGGAAGGTGGCTCAGTGGTAGAGTGCTTGCCTTACATGCATGAGGCCCTGGGTTCGATTCCTTAGCACCACATAAGCAGAAAAAAACCGGAAATGGTGCTCTTGTTCAAGTGGTAGAATGTAAGCCTTGAGCTAAGGAGCTTAGGGACAGCGCCCAGGCCCAGAGTTCAGGCCCCACAACCAACCAAAAAATAAATAAATGTACAGTTTTAATAGATGTTTTGAACTATTTAAATCATGACTTTTTTTTGCCTCACATACCTGCTAGAAACTCACTAGTAGTATATCAAGCTGTTTATGATTCATCATTGATATCTTAGGGTGTGAACTTTGGATTTCCTCAAAAAAAATCATAGGTGGAGGTAACAGTTGAGTTGCAGGTAGTTGGATGTTATCTTGTGTTTTACTGTTGGTGTTTTACTGCAGTGATTATCAGTAAAAGCAATAATATATTGAGTACAACATCTTAATCTTTTTTAGCATTTCTGGCAGTTGAACCAGGGTTTCTTGTATGGTAGGCTATCACTCTAACACTTGAGCTATGCCTTCAGCATTTTTGTTTGTATTTTTATTTTTTTGTCAGTTGTAGGGCTTGAACTCTGGGCCTGGGCACTGTCCCTGAGCTCTTCAGCTCAAGGCGAGCGCTCTACCACTTTGAGCCACAGTGTCACTTCCTATTTTCTGTGGTTAATTGGAGATAAGAGTCTCATGAACTTTCCTGCCTGTGCTGGCTTTGAACCTCAGTCCTCAGATCTCAGCCTTCAGAATAGCTAGGACTACAGGTGTGAGCCACCGGACTGGACTTTTTCTTTTGAGACAGCTTCCTGTTGTACTTTTTCCTCAAACTTATGATCCTCCTACTTCTGCCTCCTGAGTATACTAGTTGATTATAGGCATGTGCCAGTCACTTGCTTAATATCATATTATTTGATGATGCTAAGTATAAATAGCAAAGAATAGATAATTGTCTGGTCCTTATGAGATTTCAGGGAGAGAAGTTTTTGGGGTTTTTTTTGCAGTGTTTGGGATTGAAAGAGAAGTACTTTATTTATTTATTGTTGGTTGTGGGGCCTGAACTCTGGGCCTGGGCACTGACCCTCAGCTCTTCAGCTCAAGGTTAGTGCTCTACCACTTGAGCCACAGCACCACTTCTGGCCTTTTTTGCTCATGTGGTACTGAGGAATAGAACCCAGGGCCTCATGCATGCAAGGCAAGCGCTCTGCCATTGAGCCACCTTCCCAGCCCCTAGAGAAGTATCTTTTTCCTTCTGTTGAACCATACCCCTAACTACTAAAGGTCTCTTTCCTTACCCCTCCCCCCCCACACACACATTTTTAAAAATGTTTTGAAGCCGGGTGCTTGTGGCTCACACCCATAATCCTCGCTACTCAGGAGGCTGAGATCTCATTGAGGTTCAAAGCCAGCCAGGGCAGGAATGGCCATGAGACTCTTATCTCTGATTAACCACCAGAAAACTGGAAGTGGGCTGTGGTAGAGCGCTGGCCTTGAGCTGAGGAGCTCAGGGACAGTCCCAGGCCCAGAGTTCAAGCCTCATGACAAAAAAAATAAATGTTTTGAAAGTACATGTAAGTAGTAAAATTACCCATTAGGCATAACTTGGACATTTCCATTTGGGGTACATATTTTTACTGTCAAATTTGGGGTACATATTTTTACTGTCAAATTGTATTATATTGTATAATTTGAATCTTGCTTTGGTTTTTAACATGTAAAATGCTTATGGTCTGTAAAATGTAATTGTATACATTAAGTTGTGTGTAGTAGCATCTACAATCCTAGCAGTCAGGAGGCAGACAGGATTGAAAGTTTGAGGCCAGGGCTGGGAAGTTGGCTCAGTGGTAGAATGCTTGCTTTGCATGCATGAGGCCCTGAGTTCAATTCCTCAGCACCACATAAGCAAAAAGAAAAAAGCCAGAAGTGGCGCTGTGGCTCAAGTGGTAGAGCGCTAGCCTTGAGCTGAAGAGCTGAGGGACAGCACCCAGACCCAGAGTTCAGCCCCCCTGACCGACCAAAAAAAAAAAAGAAAGTTTGAGGCCAGCCTAGGCTACATAGTTCCAAGCTAGGCTGAGCTACATAGTGAGACCCTATCTCAAACACAGACAGCACACAAAAACCCCCATGCCTTGTTTCATACCACAGTATGAAAATGCCAATGCCGACATACAGGACATTGGCATCCTACTTTATTTACCTCAGGATTGTGGCAATATGCACATCAGTGTGTAATATTATGTTGTTGGGGATTCTTACAGCACCAGATGCCTCTCTTCCGGAAGAAGATGGTGTGGGAGATCCTCCATCAGCAGTTGCTGTGACAGTGCCCTGCCTGGTCCTCTTGCTGCTGGTGGTTCTTCCATGGACATTTCCATATACCTCATGCATCGTGGGTTAAAAAGTCCCACCTCATTTCTGTTCGCACAGGTACTGAGCTGTCAAAAGTGCATGAAGGCCCTCGCCCCGAGTCCCGACAGGGTAGAGGAGCTGCTTGCAACCCTCTCTGCAAGGCTGCGCCTGCTCAGAGCTGTGGACTGCTCAACCCACACAAGAACAAACCTAATTGACATTTTTTATTTGTTTGTTTTAAAGAGTTATTTCCCTATGAATGTGGGAAAAGCAAGACTTATTCTATGAATTGTTTTTTCCTGTGTGTTTTTCAGTTATATTCTTTTTCTCATTCATTTGCAAACATAGAGCAGTGGCCATTTGCCATTGTTCTTTTACAGTTAACTCGTTTGAACTATTTATTTCTGAAAGAAGTGTTAATCAAACTGCCACTCCTTGCTGAAGATCGAAAGGGATGTCAGCAGGAGGAGGAAGGAAGTTTTATTAACTTCTTTAACGCTGGAGTAGTTACTGCCAACTTGAAGTTAGGGGTCCTTTTTTTTTTTTCTTTCTTTTTTTTTTTTTTTTTTGAGGCTTGAAAATGCCAGAAGAAATGCGAATACTGTGTGCAGGGTCTGGTCGCCTTTTGAGGAAGCCAGATACTATGGCGTTGGCACATTGTCATGGAAACATGGCCCAGGAACGCTGGCTGTCCGCACATGCACCTTCAGGAGTGTCACCATCATTTAAAAGAAGATTTCCTTCCTGGAACTCAGCTGACCTGGCTCACTGTTGAAACTGGATTCAAAGTAACTGTAGCCCCAAATCTTCATTTTTGTCCCAAGTCTGGTTGAATAGAAACCTCAGAATTGCAAGAGCTCTCCTGAGCTGTTTATTTCAAAAGTTGCTATTCAATGTAAAGCTATGTTTCCTCAGAGTTTTTGTTTTAATATATATTAAGCTGAAATTAAGTTTTGTACTCATTACCATCCTGTCACTCCACCCCCACCACAATCTGAAGGAGACTTAGAACTTGGCTCTGAGGTTGCCAGTTATACAAAATTCTATTTTGCATATAAGAGTTTGTATTTAACTTTTTTTGTTCATTAAAATCCTTACAAATGTGGTTATACATTTTTATTTTCAGAAAGTTTAGAGTTGGTCAGAAAACATATTTTGCAAGATCTAGTGCCTAGTGTTGCTTTTCTGATGTAATAAAAGGTTGTCTGGCAGAACCTAAATGCTGACATGATTCTCATTCTTCTGCTTCAACCATCTGAACTTGTTCTGCACATAAAAGCACAGGGTAAATTGGAAAAACTGCACATGTGTGGGTTCAAATCTCCACTCCTGCCACCTCCAATTCCTGGCTGCTGATTGCAGAGGTAGCCTGGTTGAGCTATTTTCTCTGACACTTGCTAGGGTCTTGACACATGGTGTGAAGCTGCTCTGCCTCCTGGTGGCCAGACCAGAGACCATGCGGCGATGCCTTAGGGAAGAGCTGGTTGTGCCAAGGTTGGAGCCCACTCCTGCATCTTTGATCCTTTTCGTGGGCCTTCTAGACTGGACTAGTGAGCTCTGGGTTTGGACAACTAGAACAGCCAGAAAAAGCCAGAGGTCGACTGGGCTACACTAAACTAAATCCTGGTTCTCCAAGCTTCGAAGTATTTTACCTGAGGATTTAAGACCCCGCTGAAGTTAATTTGGTCTAGGTTGGGTAAGGACTATTTGGATGGCAGCTTGGATTCTGCCCAAGTGATGCTAGAGTGAATGTATTTGAGGAACTTTTTTTGACAGTACTGTGGGTTTGTGTGTCATGCTCCAGCCCGAGAAACTTCTTAGAAATGACTGAACTCTTCACATGTACTCTTCAGGAGAGCTCTTAATAAGCTTGATGAGTGGGTCATGTTGAGCTGGAGTGCCACTCTTTTAACTGAATTCCTTATTTGAAGGTGACATGCTACAGACAATGGTTTCTCTAGACACTGACATGTCCCTCTGAGTGCAAAGATGTGTTGACAGAACAACTTTTATATTCAAACTGCCTATGAGAAAAGTGGTCAAGTAGCTGGATGCTGGTGGCTCACACTTGTAATCCTAACTACCCAGGAGGCTGTGATCCAGAGGATCAACATTCAAATCCAGCCTCGGCAGAAAAGCAAGACTCTCATCTCCAATTAATATCATAAAGCCAAACTGGACTTATGGCTCGACTAGTAGAGCACCAGCTGAGAGAAAACAAGTAGAATGAGCATGAGCCCCTGAGTTTAAACCAGTACCAGCTGAAGTAGCTGTCAGGAGATAAAGGAAATAATAGCTATTGTGTCGTCAGCAATATTAGGTAGAACCAGTGATTTTTTTTTTCTTAATGGTTCATGCCCCTGAGAAAATTTGCAGTGAAGAAGCATGGCAGTAAAGTCCATGAGATTATTATTTCCAATTAACCAGCATAAAAGCAGAAGTGGAGCTGTAGATTAAGTTGTAGAGCTTCAGCTGTGAGGAAAAAGCTAAGTGACAGTGACCAGGTCCTGAATTTAAGCCCCATACCCACATGCACGCACACACACAATTTTTAAGACTACTTGCTCATTGTCCAAAAATAACTACTCTTTAGCTGACTTACGTAACTGTAGCCCCTATGCATATCACCTTTATAATAGTACAAAAAGATTTAAGACCACTTACTAAAGCAGATTATGGGTCATTACATTTTTTTTTTCCTTTTGAAACAAGGCCCCAAGGTGGTCTCCAGATCACTATGTAGCCCAGGTCTCAAGCTTGCCATTCCCTTAATTCATCCTCCAGGATGCTAGAATTAGACATGTACCACCATATTCAGCTTGTGTGTGTGTGTGTGCGCACGCATGCCAGTGCATAGGTGTGCACGTCCACGTGCTCTTGGTACCAGGCCTTGAACTGAACCTCAAGTCTTGCTCATGGCTGGTGCTCTACCACTTGACCATGCCTCCAGTCCAGCATCTTGCTGGTTAATTGGAGATGGAGTCTTGCAGACACTTTATCCCAGGTAGCAGAACTGTGATCCTCCAGGACTCAGCCTTCTGAACGGCTAGGATTACAGGGTGTGAGCCTCTGGCACTTTGGCCCCTCTTTATCAGTTCCTTTCTTTGTGGTATTGTTTTCCCTCTGTGCTGGGGTCCTCGTCCGACCTGCAACTCAGTCCTCTCCAAACTCAATGGCCACTTGTTGATAAGAATTGCATGGGGCAGAATTGGGGTAAACAGTGGCAGGGCAAGAGAGATGTTTGGGCCTAACTGCCAAGTCTAGTGAGGTATGAGACCATTAAACTATGGGACACATTCTCAATGGGTACCATCAATGCATGGGGAGGTGAGATGGGATGGGTGTGAAGGTGGCCTCTGCCGGTGATGCCCAGCACAGAGCTGAATAATCCAGCATTTGGGATCTTTGAAAAACTTGCCAACAGACAAGACCAGCTGGTCTTGCTTCTCTTTCATTGTCTTGGTGCCTCCTGCCCTTTTGCATGTCCTTGGCAAGTACTTTGAAAACGGGCACTTTGGGGCTAAATTTGAAATTCCCCTCCATGGGTTGTCTGAAGGGCAGGTCCATTATCACTTTTCCCCTCCCATGTCCCCCTGAGAGCCACAAGCAAGCCTGCTGGTTTGCCTTTAAAGACAGGCTGTTTTTCCTCTGTCCATTTGCCATAGACCTCTCAGCCAGGGAATGAACAGCTTTCAGTAACCTGTGGCTGGCAACCATGGTTTGTTTTTACCTCTGAGAGGGCACTAATCTCCAGTCCTAAAGTGGGGGAGAGAGGAGATGACACATAGGTACAGGATTTGTTTTAATGACCACATGAAGGGGCACGTGGCCCTGTCCAAACTCAAAATGCCACCATGTAGCAGTAGAGAACAGCCGGGCATCCACACACTAAGAAACTGAAAGCAAAATCTGCATCACTGAGATTAGAAATGAGAAAATCAGGAGAGGGGGGGCAAGATGTCAGTGAGGAACACTGTGATATGGAAAGAATCCCATCAGCTCACCATCTACTACACTGTGGAGTCTCCCCAAAACCCTAACCTGACCATCTCACAGTCAAAGCTGTGCTGCTCAGGCTGCCTTCCAACTCCGGGGCTCTAGTGATCCACTTCAGCCTATGAAACTGGTACTATAGCACACACCACCGCACCCAACTATAGCTTCCCAAGAATACACGGACTTTTTCAGTAGCCTCTTCTGGATGACCCACAGGTCTAGGAGCTAAGGTTATAAATAACAAAACCACCATTCACCTTCTCACAGTGCACTGGTACCATGCCGGGTGCACGTACACCTGTTTACCATCCAAGCTGATCCTGAACACCTAAGACAAAGCTTCCCATGAGGGGTGAGGTACTGCAGACCACATTGTCCTCCCCTGCCCCACATAAAAATAACTCCCTGACTAAGGTGAAGCACAGCTGACACGCCCCTCTAGCTGTGTGTGCAGGAGTCCCTGGCACAGGGCCTCGCCCCCACTCCACAGTTGTGTCTGGAGGAGGTGGGCCTGAGAATCTTGTTTCCAACCAGCTTGCAGATGAAGCAGATGCTGCTGGCAGGGGCTACACCAGAGTTCCACAGACATAGTTCAGCTTCTCCTGAAGAGGTTCATGGGCAGAGGCTGCCTCCTCAGTGGCTTCCCTGGACTGTGGACTGTTCTGTCCCCAAGTCCTTCAGATTAGACAGAACAGACACTCTGGGGGAGGGAGGAAAGAAGACACTAACACACACGCCAGGATCTTGTTAGCTGGATATATTTGTTTTTTGTTTTTTTTTTCTTTTTTTCCTTTTTTTTTTCTTTTTGTCACAGAACACTGTTTGCAGTAGAGGAAACTGGCATTGCAGTCTGGTGGTATAATAATGGCTTGTTCACATAAACCAGTACATGTTCATCCTTTAGCGCAAAAAGCCCTAATGGCGCATACCCTATTTTAAAACTCAGGATGTCTCCAATATTTTCTCTCTCTGTTTTTGACATTTTTTAAAAAATAAACATTTTCAAGGTTTGTCCAAAAGAAGGCCATATAGGTTCTTGGCTAGCGGAAGACAATCAGAACAGTTGTTGCACACTTGGACTGTCGCCTTCTCTAGGCTGGCAGTTGATTTTTTTTTCCAACTCATTTTTATTAAAAAAATAAAAAAATGCTCCAACTATCAGTTTTACAAAATCTCTAAGGGAAACACAAGAGCAAGGTGCTGAGGTAAACAAACACCTGAGGTAGCTTTTTTTTGTGTGTTTTTCTCGTTAAAAAAATCTGTAAATTTTAACGCCCTGGGCCAACAACCTTGTGTACATTGCAATTTTCTTCCTCTTTTTTTCCCCCCCTAAATAATCATTTCTCTTGAACATTAATGGCTTATATACCAAAATGTAAAAAAGACAAAAATACATTCTTTATGGAATTTTTGTTTGGTTGGCTGGTTGGTTTGGTGGGTTCCTGTTTTCCTCTTCCAAAATGCTAGGACAAGTACCATTGACTCTTGTTCTTTTGAGTAACCAAGTGTAAGATGAGGCTGGTTTGTGTGTTGCACGTTTGTTCCTTTTGTGTGATGTGATGCTCAGAGCACTGCTTTGCCTGGGGAGGGAGGGGGGTGCGTAGATACAGGGAACTGAGAGGGAGGGAGGAGGGGGTTCAAAAGAATGGGGGTGGGAAAGGGGCAGGAGAGCGGGAGGGAAGGAGATAAACAGAGAGAGACAGAATTATATAGCAGTATGCAAAAAACCAGTTTAAAACCTGTGAAGCAAAGAGAAATGGGGGTGAGCTGGACAGGGCTGGAGAGGGGGCAGGTCCCCGCTTCCAGAGACGGTATCCCTTCTGTTGACAGACACAGGTGATCCCGAACTGCCCTCGAGTGTCCTTCGACAAGATTTCCCTCTGGGTGAATTTTGTGTGGGTGGCCTCGAAGCTCCTTCCTACACCATTAGACCTCCCAAAGAAAGACTTGATTCTTCCAAGTCTACAACAGCCTTTCTTTTCCAAAAGAAACACAAAATTAATCATCGAGTAAGAATGGGAGTTAGTTATCTGATATATTATTTCTAAAATATATTAATGCTGCAGGCACCCTGTGAACCCCACAGGCCACATGTCTTAACCCCTCTCCCCTTCTAATATGTACACACATGTACAGAGCTGATTTTCCACAACCAAGAAAAGGGTAGGAATTTTGCTTTGCTTTGAACATGTTCACCTATATTAGTTCAACTGGAAGGGATAGCGTCGTGGGAGTTAGGGAAGAGATCTGAGTGGATGGTGGTGGGGGCTGGGAAGCCCGGGGAGGAGGTGGGCCTGGCTGGTGGTGCTGGGGAACTCGGCCTCGCCCCCCTCCCCCGCCCTCCTCAGCCCCCGGGGCTCCCAGGGCCGGGTGGGCTGGGGCTGCCTTGGCAGACTTCTCATTGCTCAGGATGGTCTTTGGTTTGCTCCCGATTGCTGGCTGTGTTTGGTCTGTGTGTCGGGTGTTGGGAGGGCTACATTCATCCGTTGTTTGCTGGTGCCTGGGGAGCCTCACTTGCTGCGCTGGGAGGCCACTCCCTGAGGGTATTTCTGCTCCTGCTGCTTCACTTGTTGTACGATTTCCCTGATCTTGCGCTGTGCAGTCTGCAGCAAGGGAGAAAAGGGAGAAAGGGGATGGGAAGCAAGGCAGTTCTGAGAACAGGAAGGAGGTGGAGAGGCTGTGGGCCCGGGCATGGGTACTGCAGGACCTCTTCTACCTGGCAGTAAGTAACAGTAACAGTGACTCTGACTCTCTCCCCCTACCCCCCAATCGAGGGAGTTGGGCGCAGGGTAAAGGGACGGGGGCTCAGCAGCTTCCAGCACAGCGACTGGGGGCCCTGGGGAGGTCAGATGGCCTGGTCCCACTGCACACACCTTTCTAGACAGTTGGGAAGAATTATGAGTGTGGAGGGACAGGCAGTGGGAGAGGGAAGGAATGAGAAACCCAGCCTGGATACAATCTGGATCAGCTGACCCTCACCTACCCGGCCACTGCTTCGGGGACCCTGGCCTGGCAGTTTGTTCTCTACGCTGAGGTCCCTGATGGTTGTGGCCAGGGGCTCTGACTGCGGGAAGCGCAAGTGGGATCTCAAAGGACACTGTGTTGGGGGGGTGGGAGGGCAGCTGGGAAAGCCAGCTGATCCTAGCCTGCCTGTCTATAGCTTAGGACTGGGACTACTGTCTCCCAAAACCTGATCAGCAGAAGCACCTGTGAGAACTGGGCCAAACTCTACCTGTGGGGCTGAAGAGAAGCAACTGTGGAGGAGCCCTGGTCGTTTTGTGCCACTGGCATGCAGGCTTGTCTGGACTGTGGCTGTGGCTGGGCCTGGGCAGGGAGGCTGAGAGGTGCCCTGGCCCATTTCAGGGGGGTCTTGCCTCAACAGCTTATGCCCTCTGTGGGCTCTGCTAACATGCCTGGGGGGAAAATGAAGAGTGGGGAGCAGCAGGGAGGCCGTCCTCCGTGTGTGGGGATGTGGCTGCCTGATGACCACTTAGCAGAGAACTGGGAATAAGCGGAGAATGGGAAAGGGACTGGCAGGAGCCGGGGCCTCCTCAAGCACTGTACCTGGCTAGCAAAGAAATGTCCAATAATCCTGACGACCACTTCCTCATTCTCATCTGGCGTCTGGTCACGAGGCACGATGACCTCAGCGCTGGTTAAGTTCTGCAGTTCATTCACCTGTGAAGGGACACAGTGTGGACCTGGTGGTCCCCTTCCCAACCACTGCCCACAGTGGACTCCGGAGGGAGGGGGCAGGAGCAGCCAGGAGGCTGGGGGTACCTCTCCTTTCCTTCATGCAGGCCTCCCAGCCCCAGCCCCATGACACAAGTGGGGTTTGCCCCCTACACCCTCGGAGGCTGGCCCTGACCCCAGGACATGGCTTTTCTGTCGGGGGCTCCAATCCTGACACTTCATCTGCACAGCTCTGAACACGAGTCACTCCACCACCCAGCCACCCAAAACTCCAAGTAAGAAGGCTGTTCAGCTCAGTGACGGAGGCTCACGCCTGCAATCCTAGCTATTCTGGAGGCTCAGCTCTAAGGACTGTGGTTGGAAGCCAGCCGGGGAAAAGACATCCACAGGAGTGACAAGGCTGAGTGAGAGCAGGAGGCCCTGAATTCAATCCCTGCCCCCCAATACACAAAAAAGAGGGCACTCCTGGACGAGCTCTCTGCTTGCCGACACTGAACCATGGCCACCTCTTGCTGACTCACCAAAGTAAACTCATTTTCTCACTCCTGCTGCTAGCTCTTAACTTAGGCTGCTCCTGGCGCTGGGTTGCTCTCCTTCCCCTCCACAGATATCCACAATGCCCTCTCTGGGAAGCATGGGAAAGCCTCATCTCCACTGTGGGAATCCACGCCCTGCCTTCTGCTAAGCTTTCTGACCCCTTGCCCTCTGCTCTGACTCCTGGCAGACGCTGGCTGGCACTGCAAACAGGTTCAGGGGACAGATGACAATTATGTGGGGAGGCAGAGGATTCAGTGACGAGTTCTAAAATAACCAAATAGGACAAGTAAGGCCCAGAAGCATCCTCGCTGCTGGACTGTTTGCTTTCTTCCACCTCCTGCATTCTAGTTCTGCTGAGCACTCAGTGTATGCCTGGGATGTGGGCTGCCTTCCTGGATCCAGGAGAGGGAACACTCTATATTCCAAGCCATTATATTTACCTGCATTAAACATGACTCATTGAGTTGCTCTCCCCCCACGCACACACACACTCTGCCGAGTACACCAGGCTCTACTGGGAGTGCCTCGGGGTCAGCTCCTCACCAGCTCATGCTACAGAGCTCTTGCTACAGGCTCCTTCCTACAGGCTCCAAAGCAAATGCTCCGGTACTTCTTTTTTTCCCTCTTGGATGGTTCAAGATTGAATCTGGGTCCTCATAATGCTAAGTACATGCTCTACTACTGATTTACACACCCAGCACTAGCAATGTTCAAATTACACTGTGTTATTGCCACATTCACATTGAAAACGTAAATTTAAAAAAAAAAAAATGCCAGCCGGGCGCTGATGGCTCACACCTGTAATCCTCGTACTCAGGAGGCTGAGATCTGAGGATCTCAGTTCAAAGCCAGGCCAGGCAGGAAAGGCTGTGAGACTCTTATCTCCAGTAAACCACTCAGAAAACTGGAAGTGATGCTGTGGCTCAAGTGGTAGAGCACTAGCCTTGAGCTGGAGAGCTGAGGGACAGTGCCCAGGCCCAGAGTTGAAACCCCATGACCGACAACAACAACAACAAAAATTCCCAACTGTAACCTCTCTGTACATCACCTTTATAATAACAATTAAAATTTTTAAAATCCCTTCTCATCCACCCTATTGCTGAGCTAGCTTCCCTACAGCACATGGCCAGGCTTAGGGACAGAACGAGAAAATGGGATCTGAAGGAAGGGGCGTGAGTGGGGAGTGCGGGAGGCGTCTGAGCAAAGTAGAGCCCCGCATTCTCAGCGTGGGCTCCAGAGACACGGAGCTTGCTGAGTGGCCGGCAGATGCTCTGAGTGGGATACAGGGGCCTGTGACGGCCTGTCTTTGGGAAGTTAAGTCGGGATGGGTGGTGCACAGGAACCTGGTGATTTTGGGTGCTGGGCTTGGCACCGTGGAACGGTGCCTTCCGTTCTAGAAGGTGCTAATTTCCTTTCTATGTTTGAGATCTTGCCTCAGGGGACTCAGATGCCAGGCCAGGCTGGGCGCCGCAGGCTCTGCGCTTATGCTGAGAGAGAAAGAGCAGCAGGAACTTCAGAACTCAGGCAAGGCATCAGCCAGGCAGTGAAGGGAGTCCCGAGCCAACTTACGGTTTTGCCACCTTTGCCAATCACCCGGCCAGCTGTAGATGACGGCACTCGGATATGGGCTTCCAGCTTCACCTCTTCTTTGGGGTTAAAGAAGTTTTCTTCTTTCAGTTTCCCAAAGATCCTTCCCTGGGCCTAATAACAAAATGAGACTATGGACCAAGACAGCTGCAGATTGTACTTGGTGCTGAGTGCGGCAGAAGGAAGCAGCCCGCCTGGAGACACCACATCTCCCATCCCAGGCCAGACCCAGGGGGTGCTGTGCCCGCCACATCAAATCATGTGACCCTACAACCTGTGCACGGAGTGTGCTGTGTCCCAGTGGGGGTACTGGCCAGGGTCTAGACTCCATCTTACTTCCGCATCCCTGGAAATGTTTGGTCAACTGAATTTGTTCAGGAATTTTTCATTCCCTCCTGCTAGTCCTTTGGTTGTTAAAGGATTGGGGTGTGGGGTTAGCGGCAGGATTCAATGAATGTGAATATGAGCTTGTTGGGTTGTGTGTGTGGGGTGTGTGTGTGTGTGTGTGTTGGGGATCCAATCTAAGGCCTTATAAATGCTAACCGAATTCACCATTTCAAAGTATATTTGAATGGTCAGTTGTGGGACCACCAACCACTATGGACTTGGAACATTTCCATCCCATTCCTCCAAAAGAAACCATATCCAGCAGTTAGATCTGACTCTTTCGTACCGCTGCTCTCTGGCAGTCCCTACTTTACCACTGACCCGTCTCTATTGACCTACCTCCTCTGTGTCTGTCATGTAAGTGGAGCCATATTCTACATGGCCTTTGTGTCTGCCTTCTCTCACTTGGCAGTGTTACCCCAGGTATAGCATGCGTCAGTATTTCTTCCCTTTTTATGGCTGAGCAATAGTCCTTTGTGTGGATATACATTTTGTGTTTCCATTCTTTTTTTTTTTTTGTCGGCCATGGGGCTTGGGCGCTGTCCCTCAGCTCTTCAGCTCAAGGCTAGCACTCGACTGCTTGAGCCACAGTACCACTTCCAGTTTTCTAGTGGTTTATTGAAGAGTCTCACGGAGTTTCCTGCCCTGGCTGGCTTTGAACCGTGATCCTCAGATCTCAGCCTCCTGAGTAGCTAGGATCACAGGTGTGAGCCACTGGCGCCTGGCCTGTGTTTCCATTCTCTAGCTGAAGGGTTGTTGTTTTTGATGATTCCAAATGTGTTATTTGTATCCTCCTGGTTAAACTTTAAGTATTTTTAATGGTTAATAATAGCACTTTTACTCTGAAGGAAGGGATGACACTGTTCAAAAAGAAATGTTCTCTTTTCCTGACTTACGTAATTGTCACCCCTCTGTACATCACCTTATAGTAACAATAAATTTGTTAAAATATTTCTTAAAAAGTGGAATTGTACTTTTATAAATACATGACTCCAACTTTTAAAAAGCTCAAATTGTACCTTGCTCATGTAAATTGTAACCCCTTCGTACAGTATCTTTACAATAAAAAATATATTTAAAAAAAAAAACAAAAACTCAAGTTGTCATTTTTTTTTGGGGGGTCCAGTCGTGGGGCCTGAACTCTGGGCCTGAGCGCTGTCCCTCAGCTCTTCAGCTCAAGGCTAGCCCTCTACCACTTGAGCCACAGCGCCACTTCCGGCCTTTTTCTTTTTGCTTATGTGGTGCTGAGGAATCGAACCCAGGGCCTCAGGCATGAAAGTGCTCTACCACTGAGCCACCTTCCCAGCCCATCAAGTTGTCATTTTCCTAGAGGAGGAAAAATAAAAAGCACTTCACCGAAAACTTTGTAGGCTACTGCACTTTCCCCCCTCATCCCGTTAGTACCCATAGCTTGGGGTGGTAATGACCACACAAATCTGAGACAGACATCCTCCTGTCTGAGGGATAAGGGATGCGCTGGAAGAGCTGACACCCAGACGGACACAGGGAGGAGGCGTACCTTCCCACGGAGAGAAAAGCAAGCGTGCTATTCACAGAGGGAACAATGGGGAAAGCAGGGGATGCAATGGGCTGAGATGGAAGAGCAGCACAGGAAGGAAAATGGAGGGTGGGCCTCCACAGAAGAACCTCAACACCTGGGAGATGGCTGCTGGAGTCCGGAGCTTGCATGCCTGACGAGGCCCTTGGCACTGACCTTGAACTGGGCTTCAGGTGGTCCGGTGATGATGACCATCCTTTCGCTGGCATCTGGGCCTTCTGCTGGGGCAATCTGCAGTTCACAGGGAAGAAGAAAAGGCCGATGCTCAGCCCCTGCTGCCTGCCGAAGCGGTGGCTGCACGCTGGCATTGTGGAGATTACAGGGTTCTGCATGTGCACCTGGGGCTTGTTCTGACAACGTGCCATCTCCACTCTGGGTCTCAGGAAGTCACTCTCTCTTCAGGAAGGCCCAGTCTGGTTCTAATTCTCAGCTCAGAAGGCAGTCATCTCTGAGTGCCACTGAGTCAGAGCAAGTGTTCTAGGCTCATCAGGGCCTCTGGGCAAAGGAGGAGGAGGAGGACATCTTGGTTCCAGTTCTGGCTGGGCCAACCTCCCCGCTGTGAAAGCTGGAGGATGCGGCTGGCAAGCTCCGAGCCCCTGCTGACCCCTCACTTCCCCTCATCCTGAGTTCTTCTCTATCATAGACATGGAACCAGCAAGAATTTTTTGTTGGAGATCCTGATCCTCATTACCTATTTGTTTCTGCATATCTTGCCTTATTCCAAAACAACAACCACCAAAAAATCCTATCAAGTAGCTTAAAAAATACAAAATTAAGTGGGCACCTAAAGTCCCAGCTACTCAGAAGGTCCAGGTAAGATCATCCAAGCCCAGGAGTCGAAGGTCCGTTCTGCAACATAGCAAGACCCTATCTCAAAAGCAAAACAAGACGAAACACAAAACTCAATCAGCAAACCATAGGAAAATTAAACTTACAATGATTTAAAAGTATGCTAAGCTCGAGGAATGTACAAGTCAGAGAGGGCTATGCACAAGATAAGCAAGGAGGACATGAAGCCTCGCAGGCTTCAGACACCTGCCTTGGCGAACAGACTGCATTCTAAGCTTTCTGAGAATAAGTACCAAGGAGGAAACCGTCAGTTATGGGTCACATGTCTGATAGCGGAGACTCGGGAAAGAGCTTTCCTGGAAGGGAATGACATTTACCACCTGTGCTGCTTTCTGCATTGGGTAGTCTCTGAGCCAGAGGCTCAGCCTCTGCTCAGCTCTGCCTCCACACATGTCACTGTTTCTCTCTGCATGCTCTTAGCCAGCCCTGGGGTCTCAAATCCAGGGCTACTGCCTTGCTCTTGTCTTGACCCTTTTGCTGCTCTGGAAGAAGGGACCTCTTCCCCCAAACTTGGCCTTGGTGACTGTGACATGAAGATGAACGTGAGGCCCAAGTGACTGACCACAGAGCTTCCTGAGAGCGATGGGCAGCCAGTTCTTCGCTGTGGCCTCTGCATTCACTAGATGGAGGCTGAGAGTCAGAGCATGTAGGCCAGGCCTGAGACTGAAGGTGGGAATTGCTCCAATACATCAAGATCTGCAGCTGCCATTCAACCTGGTCCTTATCTCAAAGAGACTGGGTCATGGTAAAAACGGTTTCCTATCGCCGCCCAACCGAGGAAGGCTGGAGGCAGGTTCAGATTTGTGATGATCCATCTGTTTTGTGGTCACTCGTGGTGACTCAGAGCTGCTTTACCCCAATTCTCATCCCAACTCCTGATGGCTCTACTGCCCAGCATTCGCTGCGAGCTGTGCTGTCCACCTGCTTTCTGGAAGGGCATTTTGTCCCGGCAGGGGCACAAATAAAGGCCCTTTCTATACTCAAAATAAATGGGACTCTGGGAGACGAGGTGACTGCCGAGCGCACAGGAAAGCAGGGGCTGAGGATTCAGAAGTGGATGTTGATTACATTTTGTGAGGCACTCAGAACCTATAAGCTCCATAGGAAAGGAGATGATGGGCAGCCCGCTGCTACTCATACCCAAGGTATAGTGTAAGTGAGCCCTGGCAGGGCTCTAGAGACATCTTGCTCTAGAGGCAAATATTTCATATCACAGCACTGAACATGGAAAATGATCTTCTTCATCCTGCCCAGGGGGCAGGAGCACCCAGGCAGGAGTCTAACCAGCAGAAGCCACTGGGCACGGTGGCCCTCATACACACCATCATGGCCTCACACACCTGAGGACTGGCATCCAGCCTGGGCCTGGCTTCTACCTGCAGATGCCATAAATGAAGCCTCAAAAAAGAGAGGATTTGGAAGGATTTTTTTTTTTCCCCACAGTCTCACTGTAATCCTTCTGTACTACTCAAAATAGTTGTTTTTTTGTTTTGTTTTGCTCCAGCATACTTGCTGTGGGAGAAATTGTGGCTATTCTTGGGGAGAATGTGTAAGCATTCTTTCTCTCCAAGTCATGGGACTTCTCGCTTGGAATTCCGGGTTGTCTCAGGGTAGGGAATTATTTTCTGTAGTAATGGAAACTGTGTTTCTGCGAGTGTTTCACGAGGCTTGGGATGTGTGCAGCATTCTGCCTGTGAGTCAGCGCTGATATAGCTGGGCTGGGCGGAAGACAGATGAATAATGCTTCCCTATCAGCTCCTCGGACCATCTGGGAAGGCAGGCTTGGCGGCCACCACCACACATTAGTGGCCTGAGCCTCTCTGTTTGCTCCCAACCTGTCATCAGCTTGGCTATCAATTATGATTTTATCACTGTCCTACAGAATTTTTCAAGTTATTTTCTCACAGTTTAAAAGTTTATTTAACAAAAATTAGTGGCACTTGAATTCAGTGCCTGGGTGTTGTCTTTTAGTTTTGCTTAAGGCTGACGCTCTATTACTTGAGCTATCTACACCCACCTCTGGCTTTTTGCTGGTTAGCTGGAGATAAGAGCTGGTTTCAAATGGCAATCTGCAGTCTCAGCCTCCTAAGTAGCTAGGAATTCAGGTGTGAGTTGCCAGCATCTGACTCAAAGTTTTAAAAAAAAGAATAGGCACTAATGGAAATATCAAAGTGGGAAACCCAATTTTTTTTCTCTTCTTCCTCTTCTCGGTGGTACTGGGGTTTGAACCCAGGGCTCTGTTTTGCTAGGCAAGTGTTTCGCTTTAGTTATTTTTCACACAGGGTCTTGTGTTTATGAGCCACAATCCCACTATTTTAGCTTCCTACATAGCTAGTATAACAAGCATGTGCCACTGTGCCCAGTGTTTTATTAGGTGAGATTGAGTCTCACAGATTTCTTTGCCTGGACTGGCCTCAAAGCACAATCCTGCCTATGTCAGCCTCTTGAGGAGCCAGGATGAACAGGTTATCAGCCAAAGGCACCTATAGCTTGCTGTATCTTCTTGAAAAGAGAGAATAAAGGTGAATTCAAAGAGGGACAGGATGTTCTGGTACTTTTTTTTTTTTTTGCTTTCTAATTCTGTGGTTAGTTGAACAGAAAAATGAGTGGAAAAATGAGAGCAGCTGGGCATGAAGTCTTAGAAACAAATGTTGCAAGTGACCCGTGAGATTCTGTGTGCAGACAGTGTGGGAGCTGTCCTGGACGGGCAGGAGGAGGGAGGACATGAAGGGCTGAGAGGAACAGCCTTACCTTGATGGAGGCACCAGCGAAGCGAGCCAACTGTTTGATGTGTGCCCCTTTCTTCCCAATGATGGCCCCCACAGCCTGGGTTGGGATAAAGAGGTTCACGACCTCCTGTTCTGGATACTGGAAGGACGAGACAAGATAGAAGGTGTCATTCCATCCATACGCCACTGCAGTCCTCAACAGCTACCTAGCACTGCCGGGAACCTCAAGGCGGAAGCCCCCTCCCACCCACGGAATTGGCCAAAATGGAGCATGAGATTCTTCTGTGGCCCAAAGCTCTGTGGGTGTGAAGCAGATAAAGTATGGGATAAAGTAGAATCTAGACAGGACTACAGGACCGCCACGGGCAAACTCTTCCTGAGCACCTCAGTGCTGACCACAAACAGCTGTTGGTCTAAGATTTCCCCAAATACATGGATCTGATAAAGATTTCTCCTGTCTTCACTTCAGAAATCAACACAGTGACTAAACACATTGGCCTGAAGCTGGGGCCTGCGGCATTTCTGCGGGACGGAACAGAAGGCTGCTCAGCCCCCCTGTGAAGCCAGGGTCAGTGTTTCTACAAGGCAACAGAACCTGCCTTTTGCAGGTTCCATGGTAGTTACCCAAGGAGACAGGCAAACCACCTCACGGGCAAACCCTGTGAGGGCTCCTGGGCAAGACTGCGGAAGGTTTTTTTCCTCATCGTCTATGAGAACAATGTGACATCATTTGCTAGACTTCAATTGAGTATCACCAGAAACAGTTGAGTAGCAATGCCTCCTAATTAACCTCTCCCCACCCCCACCAGCCTCCAGTATTGGGGTTTGAACTCCTGGCTTTGGGCTCTCACTTGCTTTTTGTTGTTGTTGTTGTTGTTGTTCATGGCTAGTGCTCTACTACTTGAGCCATACCTCAAGTCTAGCATTTTGCTGGTTAGTTGGAGATGCCCAGGCTGGCTTTGAACCCCGATCCTCAGATCTCAGTTTCCTGGATAGCTAGGTGTGGGCCACCAGCACGTGATTCTAACTAGTCTATGCTGGTCTGGCAGCCGGGGCCATGTGGAACACTGGCAGTAGAGAGGAAGCTGCAGAACATCGAGCCTCTGGCCAGAGATGCGTCACCACTGCATGGCCTAGACACACAGCAGGTAGTTTTCAAACTGCCAACTGGCATCGGCCAGTCCAGAGGGACTGATGGGAGTCAGGCCAGGAGCAGGAGGAGGAGTGGTAGCCGACACTTACAGAGTGATGATGCGGGAATGGGCTGAACTGGTGATGAGGGTACAGGCTGGAGAAGTAGCCGGAGTGCGTCTACAGCAGGAAGAGAGCCATCATTCAGTGAGTGGATGTCCCTGGGGGGGGGGGGGGGGGGGGAGGGGGAGGGAACCAGATTCCTCCATACCTATATCTGTCCCTTTGTGCCTCTAATCTCTGCTGTGTCCTCCCCCCTCCCCCCATCACTCCACTCAACATTCATGACGGCGGCCTTCTAAACTTAACCTTGCTTCTGGCTCCCTAGTTTGCACAGAAGTTGCCACTCGCTCACGCCCATTCCCAAACACACTGCCTAACCTGCCTTTGGGTAGAGACAGGGTTACTGGCTTCTGTTTTCTGGGGAGCTCTAGTCACCAACTGCAAGAACAGTACTAGGACAATATCCAAGAGCTATTCGGAACAAGCAAATGTGCTCCTGGAAAGGCAGGCAGTCAGGTGCAGCAGAAATTTGCAGAAGGAACGGAGAGATTGAGAATGGGGAAATTAGAGAGATTGAGAAAAAAAATAAAAAGATGGATCAATAAATATATGTAAACATGGGGAAAGGAAGGCCAGATATGAACAGAAAAAAAGTAGAGTTATAGGAAAATTAAAAAGTAGCTGCTTTTAAATTAAATACTACCATGTACCAATTACTATGATAGGTAATTTCTGCCTAGGAACTGCTTAAAGGCTTGTAATAGTCCTGCAGAATAGTATGCATATGCTTGGTTTTATACAGTCTCTGTGTGTGTGAGACACTGGGATTCTGAACTCAGGGGTTCCAACTTGCTAAGCAGTAACTCTTACTACCAAGCCATGCCTCCAACCATGAGTTTTGCTTGTTTTTGAGATAGGGTCTTGCTTCCTGACTGGACGCAGTCCCAAACCACTCCATCCAACTCTTCATGGAAAAGGAGCCTCGTGCTTTTTTTTTTTGCGGGGGGGGGGGGGGGGAAGGGAGGTGGGGGAATGGGGAGGGGGTAAACCACTAACCCAATCATCTTAAGCCTCCTCTAAGTAGCTAAGATTTTTTAAATTGTTATTGTAAAGGTAATGTACAGGGGGTTACAGCTACATAAGTCAGTTATTGAGTATATTTCTTTTTGAACAGTGCCACCTCTTTCCTTTCCTTCCAGTTTTTCCCTCCTGACACCCCCCACACAAGTTGAATAGTTAATTTTCTTTTTTTTTTTTTTTTGCTTATGTGGTGCTGAGGAATCGAACCCAGGGCCTCATGCATGCAAGGCAAGTGCCCAAATAGTTAATTTTCAACATAGTGTCTAGTGAGTATCACTGCTGCATTTGTTCACCCTTTGTCCCACCATTTCTGCGTTCCCCCTTACTCTCTCCCAGACAGATAATCTTACATACAAAAGGTACAGAAATTTAAAATAAACAGTGACTAAAGAGAAAAAAAAAACCCGAAATAACCAAAAACCCTCATTTCTATTTCTTGTCATTTATTTCTAAGAAAAAACCATTGTGGGGCTGGGAAAGTGGCTCAGTGGTAGAGCACTTGCCTTGCATGCTCGAGGCCCTGGGTTCGATTCCTCAGCACCACATAAGAAAAAAGCCAGAAGTGGCGCTGTGGCTCAAGTGGTAGAGCGCTAGCCTTGAGCTGAAGAGCTGAGGGACAGTGCCCAGGCCCAGAGGTCAGTCCCCACCACCGGACCCTCAAAAAAACCCATTGTATCTGATCATTTGCACACAGTAGTTAAGATTTTGTATTTTGTGATAGGCAGGACCTTGACCAGAGCCAGAAAAGTCAACTATGTCTTAAGGTCAAGAAAGAAGGTCCTGGGGCTGGGAAGGTGGCTCAGTGGTACAGCGCTTGCCTTGCATGCCTGAGGCCCTGGGTTCAATTCCTCAGCAACACATAAGCAAAAAGAAAAAAGCCGGAGGTGGCGCTGTGGCTCAAGTGGTAGAGTGCTAGCCTTGAGCTGAAGAGCTGAGGGACAGCGCCCAGGCCCAAAGTTCAGGCCCCATGACCGGACCCAAAAAAAAAAAAGAAAGAAGGTCCTTAGCTCCGGATATCATGGCACATCCACCCTGTACGACAGGCCTCAGGAAGACAGTTCCAACAGTGTCATACATGGATGGAACTTGGTGTTAAGGGACCTGGGTTTAATCTGAAAACTTCTGAACGGATCTCATGATAAAATGCTTGTCGCCTCAATCACAAGCTAGACTCAATTCTAAATGACAATTCCCCCTTAAAACTCCTTAGGGACAAAACGTTCTTCTTTTTTTTTTTTTTGGTCCAGTTGTGGGGCCTGAACTCTGGGCCTGGCCGCTGTCCCTCAGCTCTTCAGCTCAAGGCTAGCGCTCTACCACTTGAACCACAGCGCCACTTCCGGCTTTTTTCTTTTTTCTTATGTGGTGCTGAGGAATCGAACCCAGGGCCTCATGCATGCAAGGCAAGCGCTCTACCACTGAGCCATACTTCCCAGCCCAAAACGTTCTTCTTTTTGAGCTCAGGAGCACAGCTGTGAGCACCGTAAGAGGCTGATGCCTGGGTGCTTGCTAGGTACCAGCCTGGCCTGTGCTTTAATTTGGAGCATGTGGTGACACCTCATGCCCACAAGAGGGTGCTACAAGACCAGTGGTCTTACGGCATCTTTAAGTTTTGAAGGGAAGTAGTTGAAGACAACCTTCTACCTCTTTTTTTTTTTAAATCATTATTTTAAAGATGGTGCACAGAGGGTTTACAGTTATGGAAGTCAGGTAAAGCGTACAGTTCTTTTTGGACAATGTCACCCCTTCCCTCTCCTGTCTCTATCTTGAAGACTTTTCAGGACGTGCATTGGCTCAGACTCTTTCCTGTGCACGTGCTTATCTGTCCTAGACTAAGCAGGGAAGAGGGAGAATTCCTGCAGCTTTTCTGCTCAAAGAACAGCAGAATAGGCATTTTTGTCCTTCTTTTACCTGAGTGCCATCCCTTCTTCTATCAGCAGAAATTATTATTTTAAGTATGATCTGCCCTTTCATCCTCTAGCTCATGTGAAGCCAAGAGGAGACAAGTCCCAGCACGGCTCCATTCTGGGTTTCAGTTCTCCTAACATAGACACTAACAAATTTAGACCTACCACCTGGGTCAGGAGAGATTTTTAAAAAATCGACTGTAAGGAGTAATGTAGGGGGATAAATATGATTCAAGTTCAGAAATTGCTGTACAGTTAATAAATGCTAATGATACTTTAAAAGGGGTAAGAAGGGCAAATTCCATTTTATTCATCAATCACAGACACAGACTGTCATAAGGTCTTTGTATAGACAAGTTTTTGGAGCCAGAAGTCTGAGCCTGAATCATTAGCTCTAGAAGTTGGGATGATTTATTAAACCTGTCTGAGTCTCATCCATAAATGGATTGAAATAATATCATGACTTTCTATATTGTGAAGGTTCATTCAACTCTGCATTCATTCACAAAGTTATCTGAGCACCAATCATTTGACAGGCACTGTTTGAGTAGTTGGAGACACAGTTGGGAAGATAGGAAAGGTCACTGCCACCAGGGGGTTATGTTCTACTGGGAAGGTAGATGTAAAAGATAACCAGCTGGGTGCTGGCGGCTCACCCCTTAATCCTAACTACTCAGGAGAGCAAGATCTAAGAATCATAGTTCAAAGCCAGCCTGGGCAGGAAAGTCCAGGGGATTCTTATCTGCAATTAATCAGTGAAAAGCTGAGAGTGGAGCTGAAGCTCACGTGGTAAAGCACCAACCTTGAAAGAAAAAGCTAAGTGAGAGTGTGAGGTCCTAAGCCCTAAGTTTAAGCCCCAGTACCGGCACACACACACAAAGTCTTACTCTGTGACTGAGAATGAAGGGGATAGAGTACAAACAGACAGCTGAGGAGCTGAGTGGCAGGGTAGGGCTCTGACTGGAGTGGTGGGGGACAGCTCTTGAGCATGCAAGGCCCTGGGCTGCGCACACACTGAGGAGTCCCAGAGGTCCACAGCCTATTGGAAAATCAGAGAGGAGGCCAGGAAAGCACAGACACATAGAGGCCATCAGGCTGGGGGGAGGGGCAGGGGGCGTGCACCTGGGCCTGGTCTGGTCTTAGTATAATAAATGTTCTCAAAAGGTGTCCTATGGTATTCACAGATGCCACAGGAATGAGAGACCATCATCAGTCTTGGTATGGGCTGCATTCTGACTGTAAATGAGCAATTATTTACAATGTCTTATCAGAGCCTACTTTCTCTTTCCTATCTCTCCTCAAATGAAAACTGGCATTTCAAGATATGCTTTCTTAAGATCAGAAAAAGTAACCCATCAGGGACTCGAGGAGAGCAGGCTGCATCATCTGACATCTCATCCAAAGTCCCAAGCTCCGGGGCATCGCCACGGAACCCTACACCTCCCTGTGGCAGTGGGATTCTGTCACCCTGTGTATTGTATGACAGAGAAGGGACTTTGCTTTTGAGAGTGTGAGAAGCGCTTCTGACAGCAGGGTGGGAAAGGTGGGGTGCTGGTGCGGGTGCCAAGCCAGGCATGCCCTTCTGACTTAAGAGGCAGTGGGAGGTGCTGGCACCATCCAGGGGTTCATTTTCAGTTCCCAGGCTGAGGGCCTCTGGGGCCAGCCTTTTGTCCGTACTGGACTGCTGGGGAGTGGGTGGAGGAACGAACACCAAGTAAAAAGTCAACAGTTACAGCAGCTGGGCCTGTTCTCCTGGGAGACCTTCAGGGGGCAAACTGTGTGGGACACTGGCAGGTAGGTGAGAGTCTAAAGCAGCGCAGGAGGCTGGGGCCAGGCAGATGAATCATTCCAGATACTGAAATAGCTTTGCTCCCCACAGACTACAATGATGGGGGCTGCTCCCCACAGGGAACCAGGGATATGGGACTAGCGAAGGAGAGGACTTGATGAGCAGGACTGGCGTGAGGACACAGCTTTCCAGAATCCAGAAGGTGCGCTGCTCTCTGCCGGCCTGCCAGAGCGACTGCAGCAGAGCGACGGCACAGTGGCTGAGCCACCGCTGTATTTCACTCTGGACACTCAGGAGCTGCCGGCAGCTAAAACTGGGAAGTTTGCACGCTAGAGATGCAAGAC